TTTACATAATTATTAAATAATAAAGTAATTTTTAAAAGAACTATTATATTTATGCACTCTTCATAATTTATAACAATTAATCTTCGCAGAGAGACGCGTTGAATTGTCAATAATTATAGCACAAATGGGCCCATGGAGGATAAATAAATTGTGTTTGCTAAGGGTGGAAGGTATGTTATTGGTAGAGGGCTGCACCTGCATGAAATTAAAATAAGAGCCTGCAGTGCTAAAGTGTTTATTTATACCGGTAGAAATGACAGCTCACTTGCCACTCAGTCCTTAACGTGTGTTCAATTTTCCTTTCACAGCATATAGTGAACCTTTAAATGGTGTCCAATTACACTTTCTGACAATATACTCTCAGCTAAAATAGAGTTTAAATACCTACCTGCAAATAGTATTCATTTATGCTTTAAAGGAATAAAATTATATATTAAATAGTTACTAGGGTGGTTGAAAAGAAACCAGTTACTTTTGACAAGCAAATATAACATAACAGGATCCTTATATAATCCGATAAATCCACATGATATCCCCCCCCCCCCCACCCCCCTCCAAATGGTCATTGGTCAAGCTTGGTTGAGTAGAGTGTCTGTAATGGACGTTAGATAGGCACAATTTGGCATCCGAGAACATTTAAGTGCCGAAATTTTGCGCACTATTCGAACAATTTATGGTCGAGTGACAGGAAGACTAATCGTTCGTTTTGGGGCCCCACTCACAGAAGCGTCGTTACGATGGGGCACACGTAGCGAATTTCATCGTTCGAATATTCGCACTGGATGACTGGAAAATTCAGTAACATGCAAGAATATAATATATAATAATATAATATTCATATTATAATATTTCTGAGAGCTATAAAGATACGTTGTCACCAGCTCAACTGAAACTTTCTCATACCGCTATATTCTGCAATCGAATTACGGTCCGACCCCTTTTGAATAAATCCTGCGCACGCCACTGGCGTTTTTTGATATTTTTTGATAATACGGGATTCTTGGAAAGAAATGGGATAATTCTGAGTCATACTGTATGTCTTGTCCAGAAGGTGAAATAGTTTGTACACACAGGAACACCAATACAGGTAAATCACAGGAACATCAATACAGGTAAATCACAGGAACATCAATACAGGTAAATCACAGAAACATCAATACAGGTAAAACACAGGAACATCAATACAGGTAAAACACAGGAACATCAATACAGGTAAAACACAGGAACATCAATACAGGTAAATCACAGGAACATCAATACAGGTAAATCACAGGAACATCAATACAGGTAAACCAAAGGGAACATCAATACTGGCTAATCACAGAAACATCAATACAGGTAAATCACAGGAACATCAATACAGGTAAATCACAGGAACATCAATATATGTAAAACACAGGAACATCCATACAGGTAAATCACAGGAACATCAATACAGGTAAAACACAGGAACATCAATACAGGTAAATCACAGAAACATCAATACAGGTAAACCAAAGGGAACATCAATACAGGTAAAACACAGAAACATCAATATATGTAAAACACAGGAACATCCATACAGGTAAAACACAGAAACATCAATACAGGTAAAACACAGGAACATCAATACAGGTAAAACACAGGAACATCAATACAGGTAAAACACAGGAACATCAATACAGGTAAATCACAGGAACATCAATACAGGTAAAACACATCTTTCTAAGTCTATGTAGGTTATTACATTTAACCTGTCATCCCTGGTCCTAAGGATCTCGGCTGCGAGGAGACTCGTGACTGGAAGCGCAATACTACATGTTTCTAATTCTTGATTAACTTAATTGTGCCTTCTAGAGTGTTTTCGAGCTAAAAATTGAAAGCGTTTCTGAGAACAGGGGCAATAACTCATAAATATTTTTCGATTCTTCTCATTTTCGATAGGGTTCATCCTTGAGTGATAACAAACACTCGCCCTAAGTTTCGTCAAAATCCATCCAGAATTGTGCCTATTGAGTGTTTACGAGCTAAAAATCGAACGCGTTTACAAAGTACACTTTTCTAGGGTAATGTCACATATCCAGAAGTCTATCTTACACATTATATAAGATAAAATAATGTATTTGGAAGTTTCCCACTTTGAAGGTTTCACATATACCTAAGAAGGTGTTCATTTTTACGTCTTATATAGTGTTTATTTACACTTCCACAAGTGGCAGCTCAGTTGCCACCCGTTAGAGTGTAAAGTTACACTTTTTTTTTTACCAGTTTTAAAGGTTTACGTATAAGGACAGAGTTTACATAAACATATATTCTGATAAAGATTACCTAAGTATTTTAAAAGGATTGTAGAGAGGTTTTCTAAATTTTGTTTTTGTATCGAAGACAATGATAGCGTCAATTGCACTATTCTAGTAATTCTACTATAACTAAGTGTTTTATGACCCCACCCCTGCACTTATGTTATACAATCAAATTTCGCGGGTGTGACATCATTAAACACTTAGTTTTAGTTGAATTGCAGGAAGCACAGACGTATGATTGAAAATTGAAATGGTGCAAAGTGATGCTATCAGTGTCTCCGTTATGCATAAAAATTTTAGAAAACCTCGTTACTATTCCTTTAACGTCGTTATGGTATTTTGGTTACACTTGGAAAACTAATGTACGAATTTTAAAACGCCAAATTGTAGAAAAATAAAAATATCGAGCCTAAGGCAAAACTTCGAAATCAGATCAAACTGCATACTTAAAAGTATACAACCACCTGGTTTGACCGGAAAATTGAAATTTTAAAACTTGGTAAACATTAAATAAAAGGGGTACTTTGTTCATCAGTATCATAACTATAAAACAGAATCCTTAATAATCCAATAAATACATAAAACTAAGTAATAATTCATTAAATCAAATAGCCTAATCTTGAAACATATTTAGTTTAATGCATAATGCCTTATATAGAGATTCTATTTTTTGATCACGACACCTGTTCAGTCTAACTGATGAATATAATAATATACACATGTTGACCCAGTTTGAGACTGAAAGAGGAACATCAATTTTAATAATACAATTTTGTTCATGATAAATTATAATGCCCCTTTAAACTTCTGCAAAGCTAGGATGATGAGTGATCAAGGTGATAGGTAACTTAATAGAAGGTATATCGTTATATGTGATACGAAGTGCATGTAAATGTTTGAAATAAATGTAATAAATTGAGATACGCTATAACATATCGTTTTCAAGTCAAATTAGAGTCAATATTAATTGGTGTTTGAGACAGAACTATTGCTGTACACATAGCTGACTTAAGCATCATGGTATGGAAGCAATGGCCCCGGACTGGTATGTACTGCACGTACAAGTAGGTTACCACTTGGCCGACTGCATTTGTCCCAAAATCACATAGGAAGTTTACCAAACGTCTGTAATATCCCTTTAATATGTAAAAGCTCATAATTGAAAACATAACACGTTCAAACAAGGATGTATTTTCTTACCTTTGCCTATTTAACTTGATCAGGGTTTACGATAGGATATTGAACAAAGAAGCATGATTGATTTGCAGTTACAATATGTACTATGTTATTCGATGACAATTAAATACACGACAAACAAAAAGTACATTGTCTGGGGTTCAAAGAGCAATTTCATTAAAATTTCAAGAAATCTTTTTTGAAGAATACCTTCATCTATAAATCGGCTTTTCTACTAACCAATTTGTTCTTGATCAGGATATAGTAAATATTGTAGTAGTGAGGAATTACACTATGAACAGAACTTGAAACCGTTTGATAATAACTGTTGAGGCCTACAATATTTACAATACATTGGCGTTGTCCGTCTGTATAGGTGATCTGGTCAATCCAAGATGCCCATTATAACATAACGTTCCGTATTTATAATAAAATTGTAGAATCACATTAATTGATTAACAATCGACCAAGGAAACACTCGTGTGTTTGGTGTGATTTTCTTCATTCATTAAATACAGATTCGCCTACAAATCCATGTGCATTCCTATTTTTTTCCATGATGCGCTAACAATTCTAATATGTCCCCTTGTTCCCCTACCGAAAGGAAACGCCACTATGACAAATTTGTACTAGGTGTGTTTGTTTAAGCACTTGACTCACCGACAAAGGAGTTGATCGCGAATAATTTTGGATCATATGATTGTAGAGTTACCTTTTAACAGAGACCTTGGCGCAAAATCTTATTTTGACTGTCATTTTGTATGATCCCCAACGATATGGACAAAACTATTATGATGGAAATCTTACCCATTCTCTATTGAGCGAGGTTTGATTATATGTGTATATAGAGGGTCTATTATGCAAAGAGGGCATTCATAACGCATTAGGGTAATATATATAACCTCGCGTAGACAGCAGTGTGGATTAATGTTGTATACCAAATTGCTATACCAATGCTAAAAAATGACTGTAAATGTTTGGTTACTAAAAATCCTTTTGATTATAAATATTGTGACTTTCTTGTATCTTATTTTATTCTTATATCCATTAGCCAATAAGAAGCAAATTTTCGGAGAGGATTCCAAGATTTCGGACCAGTTCTTGAAAGATTTCAACAGTGCGGAAGAGTTTCTACACAAATTTAATAGTGCGGACAATTCCTTTGAAAAAAGGGGAAAATTCATTTGGGTGAGTAAAAATTCATATTCTCAGAATGGCAAATTTCTTCCACTACGAATTAACGTCAATACGAATTCGAATTCAGAAACAACACAAAGCAATGTTAATGACTCGAAGGATCTGCAAATATTCAAAAGATATTTTGGAACTACAAAAGGATCTATCGGAAATACAAGACTTCAGATACAAAGTACCAAGAAACAGGAGATACCATTTTTGACAGTGCTGGAAAATTATCAGAAACATACAGAGTTCTATCACAATTTGGGATTATGTCCTAGATTGTTAAAAAATAATAACCAAATACTGTTGAAGTCGGCTAGCCTCAACACATCCATTATAGAAGATGAAACAACTTTGAGAAATTTCCTTGCAATGACTCAAAAGTGTTCTTTATATAAATCAGTGCGACGATTCAGAAATAAACCCGTTTCAACAGAAGAAGAGAATTTTCCTATAGCCATGTCCATTTTGATACACAACAATCTTGAACAATTCGAAAGACTTTTGAAATCTTTGTATCACCCACAAAATGTTTACTGTGTACATATTGATGAGAAAGCTAGCCCCCTTTTTAAGGCAGCCACCAAAGCAATTGTAAATTGTTTTAACAACGTTTTTCTTGTGTCGAAAGCCATAAACGTAGTGTATGCATCATTTTCAAGACTACAGGCGGACTGGAACTGTTTGTCTGATCTTCGGAAACATTTCGTTAAATGGAGGTACCACATTAACCTAGCTGGGTCTGAATTTCCCTTGGTGTCAAATCCAGAACTTGTGAAGATTCTTAAACTTATGAACGGTTCGAATGATATACGCGAGCGATATTCTCAAAGAATAACCTCAAGATTTTCTCATAAATATGTCGTAACTAATGGAACCATTCATAAAAGCAAAGAAAAGCTTTTGCCCCCACCGTATAATTTGACCATTATCAAAGGTCTTGCGTACAATACAATTAGCAGAGAATTTGTGGAATACATCTTTACTAACAAAGCGGTACAGAAACTTTTCAATTGGAGTAAAGACACATACAGTCCGGATGAACATTTTTGGTCTACAGTTAATGATTTGTACCACAATATTTTATTGAAAAGCCCGGGAGGTTTTAAAGGTAAGACGAGTTTTTTATCGAATGTAGTCGTAGCGATAGCTTATATTAAAGTAAAATTTACTTTATGTGAATGGAGAATTATTTTGTCCGTATGCACTGAATAACGATAAGCCTTATATAATTCTATTCTGTTCGAATAACTAAATTGCAATTTGATTTCATACTTCATATGTACCACTTAAAGGGACAGGTGTGCCATTTTGGGGGTTGATTTGAGTCTTGAATATATGTAAGTATTCTTAAGAAGTACATGTGCTAGAAGTAGAATTGTATGAAAATCGCATAATTCCTTCAAAAATATCTCAAAATGGGAATATCTTTTCTTATGTCCTTTCAATATATGGCAGTGTCTCAAGAAAAGACGACTCGTCTTTTTAACTTCCAACAGCAGATAATTCTAGAAACACATGGCTTAGCCGTTTCTGAGACAAGGTATGATTGGTAAAAATAATGGCGCATCTGTCCCTTTAAAGGGCGTTGTTTGTTGTGAAGTAAATTGTATTTTATAAAGTGAGGTTATTTATTGTCTATAGTGACTAGGCTTTTTTTTGTTATAAAGTAAATTGTATTTTATTTTATAATAATGTTATTTTCAATAGTAACTCGGCTAGTGTTTGTTGTATAGTAAATTGATATATAGTGAGGTTGGGTATTGTCAATAGTGACTTGGCTATTCCTTTGTTATAAAGTAAATTGTATTTTATTTTATAATAATGTTATTTTCAATAGTAACTCGGCTAGTGTTTGTTGTATAGTAAACTGTTATATAGTGAGGTTGGTTATTGTCTGTAGTGACTCGGCTATTTTTTTGTTGTAAAGTAAATTGTATTTTATTTTATAATAATGTTATTTTCAATAGTAACTCGGCTAGTGTTTGTTGTATAGTAAATTGATATATAGTGAGGTTGGGTATTGTCAATAGTGACTTGGCTATTCCTTTGTTGTAAAGTAAATTGTATTTTATTTTATAATAATGTTATTTTCAATAGTAACTCTGCTAGTGTTTGTTGTATAGTAAATTGTATTTCATCATATAATAAGAATATTTTAATAGTAACTCGGCTATTTTTTGTTGCAAAGTAAATTGTATTTTATTTTATAATAATGTTATTTTCAATAGTAACTCGGCTAGTGTTTGTTGTGAAGGAAATTGTATTTTATTTTATTATAATGTTATTTTCAATAGTAACTCGGCTAGTGTTTGTTGTATAGTAAATTGTTATATAGTGAGGTTATTATCTATAGTGACTCGGCTATTTTTTTGTTATAAGGTAAATTGTATTTTATTTTACAATAATGTTATTTTCAATAGTAACTCGGCTAGTGTTTGTTGTATAGTAAATTGTATTTCATCATATAATAAGATTATTTTAATAGTAACTCGGGCTATTCCTTTGTTGTAAAGTAAATTGTATTTTAGTTTATAATAATGTTATTTTCAATCGTAACTCGGCTAGTGTTTGTTGTATAGTAAATTGTTATATAGTGAGGTTGGTTATTGTCTATAGTGACTCGGCTATTCCTTTGTTGTAAAGTAAATTGTATTTTATTTTATAATAATGTTATTTTCAATAGTAACTCGGCTAGTGTTTGTTGTATAGTAAATTGTTATATAGTGAGGTTGGTTATTGTCTATAGTGACTCGGCTATTCCTTTGTTGTAAAGTAAATTGTATTTCAGTTTATAATAATGTTATTTTCAATAGTAACTCTGCTAGTGTTTGTTGTATAGTAAATTGTATTTCATCATATAATAAGATTATTATTAATAGTAACTCGGCTATTTTTTGTTATAAAGGAAATTGTATTTTTTATAGTAACTCGGCTAGTGTTTGCCGTATAGTAAATTTTTATATAGTGAGGTTATTTTCTATAGTGACTATTTATTATTGTGAAGTAAATTGTATTTTAGTTTATAATAAGGTTACTTTCAATAGTAACTCGGCTGGTGTTTGTTGTGAAGTAAATTGTATTTTATACCGTGAGGTTATTGTCTTTTAGTGGGTCGGCTATATTTTTTTGATGTGAAGTATTTTTTTATTATTTTATAATAAGTTTATTTTCAATAGTAACACGGCTAGTGTTTGTTGTATAGTAAATTGTTATATAGTGAGATTATTTTCTATAGTAGCTCGGCTATTTTTTGTTGTAAAGTAAATTGTATTTTAGTTTATAACCAAGGTTATTTTCAATAGTAACTCGGTTAGTGTTTGTTGTGAAGTAAATTGTATTTTATACAGTGAGGTTATTGTCTTTTAGTGGGTCGGTTATTTTTTTTGTTGTGAAGTAATTTTTTTTTATTTTTTAATAAGGTTGTTTTCAATAATAACTCGGCTAGTGTTTGTTGTAAGGTATTTTAGTTTATAATAAGGTTATTTTCAATAGTAACTCGGCTAGTGTTTGATGCATTGTACATTTTTATATAGTGAGGTTATTGTCTATAGTGACTAGGCTATTTTTGTTGTTAAGTTTATTTTATTTCATTTCATAATAAGGTTATTTTCAATAGTAACTCGGCTAGTGTTTATTGTATAGTAAATTGTTATATTATAGTGTGGTTATTGTCTATAGTGACTCGGTTAGTATTTGTTGTAAAGTAAATCAATCAAAGCTGCCAAGGAGCAATCGAGTCAGCAAGTTACTATTCAATAAACGGCGTTAGCATACGGTTAAAGTATTGTTTACAAGTATAGTGGTGTTAATATTTAGTACAATAGGCAGAAGAAAGTAATGTGAAAAGAAATTTAAAAGTATTAAAAATCATTCCCTTTTTCCGTGACATGTTAGTGGTGCATATAATTATATAGATGCTTTACCGTATATGAAGTTTACTGATTAGCTAAAAAAAACATCCCATTTCTGAGAATGAAGTATGATTGATCAAAAATGAAAATGGCGTATCTGTTCCTTTAAAATAGTGTAGAAGGACCTGGAAATATTAAAACAGAACTATTCAGGTATGTGAGCCATCGTAGATATAGGTTGTAATCTGAACCATTTTGAATGTTGATAATGCCTTTAATATAGTTATATAGATTTTCTATGCCTGAAGGCATTATTAAAGGGATTGTAAAGAGGTGTTCTATTTTTTTTATGTGTATCGGGCACACTGATAGCATCAGTTTGCACCATTCCAATTTTCAATCAGCCGTCTGTGGTTCCTGCAATTCCATTAATACTTTGTGTTAGTTGATGTCACTTATCGTGAAAGGCCTTTTGTGATACAAGCATATTTGGCCATTAGTGACAACTTAAACTTAGTTTTCTTTAATATGCAAATAGTCTTCAGTACTAGAAATGTACGCGAATCTATTTGTATTTCTACACCTATTCTATATATAATAGAGTCTCAAAAAAGACGAGTCGTCATTTTAACTTTCTAACGTGGATAATTCTGTACACACGGATTTTGAAGAATCAAATTTCGACGGTGAGCTGTGAACACTATTACAGTTTTGCTTAACTGATACATTTTTCGTAGACTACTAAGGCATGGGTGGTCAAATGAATGACGAACCTCCCTGCATGTACATCAAGATGTTTGTCTGTAATTAACAAACTTTGCTTTAACTTTGAAAAAACCCCTGCAAAACTTTAAAGCTCTGGTGCACAGCGTACCAAATCATTGTCATAATTCTGACAAAACACATCGAGTCTTGTGCTCAAGAATGGCAAATTCGTGTAGCTTTCATCAGCATGAACGTAATAGCCAGATTGTTGACATCGTTATTGTAGTAATAGTTGCTTCACGTGCTCCTGCCCTTTGATTCCATGTAAAGAAACCTATCTATATAAAAATGGACTTTCGAGAAACGTAGGCCTATAATTCAGCCGTACAATGGCAAAATGCAATATTTGCTTATAATTACTTTTTTAAACTTTTGGAATCAGGATTTCAAGCTCTATTTGGTAGGATATATCTTGACATTCATTGAACAATACTTATTGAGATTAGTAGGTGACAAAAGGCAGTAACTTCATAACTTGAATATATTTTCAATTTAAAAAGGCAGTATATATATAGGAAATATGTGACAAAGCAAAAAGGCAGTAAGTGTCATGAACAGTTTAAAGTGCAGTTTTCTCAAAATGTACAAAAATGTCTATACTGCCTTTTGCAATTGTAGGGCTGAATTGTTCACCACACTGTATTTTTAATCATGCATAAAAAATAACCGGTATAGCTGTGAAATTTGATCTACACATGTAACAATCCGTTGAGACTCGATCCCTATGAACTTCATGAAACTGTTAACTTTAATAATGCAATAAGTCACATAATCCTTGCTTTGTCAAAAAATGCTGAATTTTGATTTTTTTAATCGTGATCTTTTAACCGTAACAAGATCCCATATCCAGAATACCATCACTTATGAGGACCAGAAACCTTCAATTATTTCGTTGAACAATTCATAACGTGGAGGTCTGATACTTATCAATAGAAAGTTTATGGTGATTTTTGGGAAAATGAAGCGAGGATTCAAATGGTCGTCGGCCACTAGATATAATTTTAAATATATCCGATGTCGCAATGATGTAAGGATCCATAGCAACGGCCCCTCAAATATGACTGTTTGTTGTATTATTTGATTATATAATGAGGTTATTGTCTGTAGTTTCTCGCCCAGTGTTTGCTAAGTAAATTATACTTTTAAATGAAGTGGAATTATTGTCAATAATTACTTAGTGTTAAGAGTGAAGAAGTTCCTAAAAACTTCTATGTAAAGCACTGGCCAAGGTCACAAATAAAGAGATAAATGTTCAATACAAGATAAGGTGAAGTTAGCATAGTTAGTATTAAGTTCAAAAAACAACCACGAGTAATCTACAATAAACAAAAGTCTATGATATGAAACTTAGTGTTAGTTGTGCAGTAAATATTTTTTTTCGTATATATTGAGGTTATTTTCTATAATGTGTAAGGTAAGTTGTATTGTATTTTATATAGTGAAACTATTAGTTGTCTATATTGACTCGTTTAGTATTTGTTGTAAAGTAAGATGTATTTTATATACTGAAGTTATTTGTTGTCTGTATTGACTCGGCTCATGTTTGTTGTAAAGTAAGTTGTATTGTATTTTATATAGTGAAGTTATTTGTTGTCTTTATTGACTCGGCTAATGTTTGTTGTAAAGTAAGTTGTATTGTATCTTATATAGTGAAGTTTTTTGTTGTCTATATTGAATCGGCTAATGTTTGCTGTAGAGTAAGTTGTATTGTATTTTATATAGTGAAGTTATTTGTTGTCTTTATTGACTCGGCTAATGTTTGTTGTAAAGTAAGTTGTATTGTATCTTATATAGTGAAGTTATTTGTTGTCTGTATTGACTCGGCTCATGTTTGTTGTAAAGTAAGTTGTATTGTATTTTATATAGTGAAGTTATTTGTTGTCTTTATTGACTCGGCTAATGTTTGTTGTAAAGTAAGTTGTATTGTATCTTATATAGTGAAGTTATTTGTTGTCTATATTGAATCGGCTAATGTTTGCTGTAGAGTAAGTTGTATTGTATCTTATATAGTGAAGTTTTTTGTTGTCTATATTGAATCGGCTAATGTTTGCTGTAGAGTAAGTTGTATTGTATTTTATATAGTGAAGTTATTTGTTGTCTTTATTGACTCGGCTAATGTTTGTTGTAAAGTAAGTTGTATTGTATCTTATATAGTGAAGTTATTTGTTGTCTGTATTGACTCGGCTCATGTTTGTTGTAAAGTAAGTTGTATTGTATTTTATATAGTGAAGTTATTTGTTGTCTGTATTGACTCGGCTCATGTTTGTTGTAAAGTAAGTTGTATTGTATTTTATATAGTGAAGTTATTTGTTGTCTTTATTGACTCGGCTAATGTTTGTTGTAAAGTAAGTTGTATTGTATCTTATATAGTGAAGTTATTTGTTGTCTATATTGAATCGGCTAATGTTTGCTGTAGAGTAAGTTGTATTGTATCTTATATAGTGAAGCTATTAGTTGTCTATATTGACTCAGCTAATGTTTGCTGTAGAGTAAGTTGTATTGTATTTTATATAGTGAAGTCATTTGTTGTCTGTAGTGACTCGTTTAGTGTTTGGTGTAAAGTAAGTTATATTCTATTTTATATAGTGAAGTTATAGTCTGTAGTGACTCGTTTAGTATTTGTTGTAAAGTAAGTTGTATTTTATATAGTGCAGTTATTAGTTGTCTATATTGAATCGGCTAATGTTTGTTATAAAGTAAGTTGTATTGTATTTTATATAGTGCAGTTATTAGTTGTCTATATTGAATCGGCTAATGTTTGTTATAAAGTAAGTTGTATTGTATTTTATATAGTGAAGTTATAGTCTGTAGTGACTCGTTTAGTGTTTGGTGTAAAGTAAGTTGTATTGTATTTTATATAGTGAAGTTATTAGTTGTCTATATTGAATCGGCTCATGTTTGTTATAAAGTAAGTTGTATTGTATTTTATATAGTGAAGTTATAGTCTGTAGTGACTCGTTTAGTGTTTGGTGTAAAGTAAGTTGTATTGTATTTTATATAGTGAAGTTATTAGTTGTCTATATTGAATCGGCTAATGTTTGTTATAAAGTAAGTTGTATTGTATTTTATATAGTGAAGCTATTAGTTGTCTATATTGACTCAGCTAATGTTTGCTGTAGAGTAAGTTGTATTGTATTTTATATAGTGAAGTCATTTGTTGTCTGTAGTGACTCGTTTAGTGTTTGGTGTAAAGTAAGTTATATTGTATTTTATATAGTGAAGTTATAGTCTGTAGTGACTCGTTTAGTATTTGTTGTAAAGTAAGTTGTATTTTATATAGTGTAGTTATTAGTTGTCTATATTGAATCGGCTAATGTTTGTTATAAAGTAAGTTGTATTGTATTTTATATAGTGAAGTTATAGTCTGTAGTGACTCGTTTAGTGTTTGGTGTAAAGTAAGTTGTATTGTATTTTATATAGTGAAGTTATTAGTTGTCTATATTGAATCGGCTAATGTTTGTTATAAAGTAAGTTGTATTGTATTTTATAAATTACATTGTATTATATCGTGAGGTTATAATCTGTAGTGATTCGCCTAGTGTTTGTTGTAAAGTAAGTTGTATTGTATCGTGATAGTCTGTAGTGACTCGCCTAGTGATTGTTGTAAAGTAAATTGTATAATATAATATAATATAATATAACCCCGACAATTTTATTCAATTAACATGAGATTATGTTTATTTTATATTTTAGGTCATCCGGACGACAAAAACTATTTTAGCCGATACATAAACTGGATCACATCATTAGATCGATGCCATGGAAATTATACTCATAATATTTGCGTATTTACGTATGGTGATTTGTGGTACCTTCAACTGAAGCACCAATTAATAGCCAACAAATTTGACATACGAATAGATTCCTTAGTATTTTCATGCATGGAGGAACTTGTTCAAAACAGAACTGAACATCCACGGAAATTAAACCCTAAGCATTACAGGCTAGGCAAATAGCGGAAATATTGTAATAAAGTGTATAGATACGACTCTGAACGACAGTTATTATCATATAACAGCTGCTTGCTTGAGATCAATATATTTATGCACTGAAATTGTTTTATCATCTATAAATGACGTAAAAAAAATGCGTTTATAAAAATGGTATGAATGTGAAATTTCTCTTTTATACCGATCCGTTAGTTTTATTAAAAAGGTGGCTTTTATTGAATGTATTCAAATTGCGAAAATCTTTTTTACTGATTTCAACACCCATTATGTTCGGTTATATGAAGGCAATCATAATGTATGACGTAATGAAATGAAATGAATGGAGTTTACGTATGGAATGGAATTTAGCTGTAAGAATTTCAGCAGGCCTGCAAATTAGCTACAAACCTGGTTGGATGTTGGTGGGGATTACGCGGCTAACGAAGGTATACATCAAAACGCCATCTGATGATTAACCTTAGAGTTACTCCATCTTGCCTCGAGGGGCGTACTTTCCCATGCTACCCTAAAGTGAAAGGATAGTCTTTAGTGTGGGGCACACGAACAGTTTTTGTTGCAGATTAGTGTCTGATCAAGAGCTATACCGGCCGGCTGCAGGCCCAAGAGGAGACAAAAATATCCAGTGGGTCGTTTTCGTTTCGTTTCCCGATAATCGCAATTAAAGTGAAAATGAATCTGATTGGATGATGGCTCTGAAGAATCTTGTCTCTTGTCGTGAATAGGGTCAATCAATTAACGCAATCGCCAACGAGACAAAAAAAATATGACTTCAAAATTCTGTCGTCAATGCGATGGTATTTAGTTGAAGCGCGGGTAGGCCTACACGTGAGATTTTACTCTAAAATCGACAACAAAACTATTCGAGCATGTACCCTCACGCACATAGTGTGTTGCGATGCAACTAAGTGTTTTTACTAATAAATAAAGTAATAAAAATATTTATGTATTCAACACTTGAAATTAATTTTTCAAAAATATGATTGAATTCGTTTTATGATTTTTTGCTTCAACAATTTTAAATATAATTTTTAGAATTATTATTCAATCTGTAGAAAACTCTATAATACAAACTATTCTGGCCGATGAAATAGTGTGCAATGCATCAATAATTGTAGAACAGAAATAGCTAAAATGATAACCATATTTATAAAGGTTGCTTTTATTGGTACACAAATTGCGAAAAGCCTTCTTACTGATTTGAACACACAATATGTTCTGTTATTATGTAGGCAATCCTACAAAATTAGGACTGAAGAACGGACAAGGTGAAGACAACATACGTATAAAAGGAGCGTAAATTAGCAATATATACCAATCTACGTGTCGTTCTTGCGTAGAAATTGATACGAACAAGGTTGACCGACATCTGAACTCACTACGCGAAACTCAATCAGACGAATTTTTTAGACAGGTCAAAATTATTTCAACTAAGCCTTATGAGAGTCACATTTTCCGATTCAAGAAATGGCGGTCATCTAAATTCGTGATCGGTTTGGTTAGGTTACATGGTCAGAGCCCCGTTTAAGATTTTAATTTTTAAAGTTTACGCTCGTACGTTAATTTACGATATTTTGAGAAACGGCGTGTAGTTTTGTATGTGCATTGAATAAGCAGGATGAATTTAGATTAATATTGACTGACTGACGATGGTATATTGCAGAATATATTACTATCGATGTTTGAAAGGCCATTGTTTGAAATTATATTAGGTCTATTTGAACACAAATATGTCGAGTACTCAAAAATAAACATGATATATAATGCACGAATAAATAGAATGACTCCATGAATAAACAATATTCATTATTAAATTGTATGTAGTTCAGGGGTGTCATACAGTACGCCCATCTAAGGTCGTCGGTGGAAGAGCGGTAATAACTGGGCTAAATATTACCCCTCCTTGTGAAATTAATCAGACACCAATGTGTTTTATCATTGTTTGAACTCTCTTGTACGACCATCTTCACAGTGTCAAGCTATCATGAACTTCGTAATTATACGTTTACTGCAAATATCAGGGGAGTTTGTAACGGAAGCGACTTCAATACATTGTTCGCTAATCAAAGTCTGTGAACACAAAGCCACAATGTTAACAGTCTTTCTGTCGAGGCCTCTTCCAATCCAATCAAATCGCTGTAGACTATGAAAATGTCCTACAATCTGCTTAAATGCCATACCTTGATATTGATCTTACTGACATTTTTAGGGCGCAAATAGATCGTGCAACTGGCAGAATAGAGGAACAACTGTAATTACATTTAATTACTGGCAATTACACATCAATCGCCTTACACAACAGTGGTATTTCTAGTAAACGGTATGTGAAGGGGTTATTTCTAAGTGGGAGACCGAATCCTGGCTAACCTCTTTTTTCTTTTGGATGTGGGGGGGCCTTACTCGTCGATGTGCTAAGATTCAGGTCGACGACACGGTTTGTATTTTATACATGAGAGATAAATAATGGACAATTATTATATTATTAGAAACTTTGGCCTGAAAGCGTCAAAATGGCCAAAAGTAAATAAGTCTAACTATGTAATATTGTTTATATAAGATAATCATATATACTGAGCCCAAATGTCCTGTTTTTTTTCTTTTGATCAAATCATACCCCATTCGTGACCTATCAATACCTTTAAGAAAGTTAAATAATACTATCCGCATATCATTATAGCAAGATCATTGTTAATGTATTGGGTCAAGGGGCGGATTGACGGCTCTTGCACTAAAATACATTAAAGGGGCAGTATATAAAATTTTCATAATCAAAAACGTCGTTAATTATACCTGAAATTTTTTTCTAAAGTATACTATTTACATCTATGTTTCAATTTGATACAAACTAAATTTATTTTATATGGTTTAATTTTAAAAAAGGGCGCGTACTAATTGTTAATTAAGCAGTTAGACCTAGTTTTGTAACCTTCAGAATAAATAGGTGACATATTTCTGTTCAATTATTTTGCTTAAATCCGTACAGTAATTTTCCTCCACCTACCAAAAAGCCTAACGAACTTTAAAATCCTTACGTTATGTTTTTAAATAGATTTGACGTTTAGAAATTAACGGCTGAATTTTTTCAGTGACAACTTTCAGATGTCAGATTTTGAAGTGTATAGTTATCATAAATTTGAGTAAATAAAAATTTCGACCTTACGGAATGCCCCTTAAAAACTAATAGGCCCCGCCATCCCCCCTTAAAAAAAGAAAAAAAAAATCTTGAGAAGCGGAATGCTCTGAATCCAAATTATTATTGACATTATTATGTTTTTTCAATGAATTTGCCATAAGTAAATTCACTGTTTTGTGTGTGTGAGGGTGTGTGTGTTTTCTTTTTTTTTTTAATTTCGTAACGTTCATCCAATATTGATTCAACGGTTCGTATTTAAAATACAGTCGTCAATATTTTAACGTCAAACCTATTTAAAAAGTTTACATAACTTTTAAAGTTCGTTAAATTTTTTGGGAATCTTTACTGTATGGATAAAATAAACGCCCAATTGTAGAGAAATAATTAAGTCTCCTAAGCATTCTAACAAAAGGTTTCGACTAATAATATCGAGCCATTATAAAGTAAAACACCAAAACCAGGCCAAACTGCTTAATTAACAATTAGTACTCCTGGTTTTTAGTTAACCCTTTCAAAAGAAATTCAGTTTGATCACGTAGATACGTAAATGTAAATAGCATAATTTAGAAATATTTTCAGGTTTTTTTTACGACGTTTTTGATAATAAAAATTTTGTATACTACTCCTTTAATCATATTGTATTCATAGAACACAATGACATAGAATTGAAGTGAACAATCAAATCCAATATAAACAAACGTCGTCATGAATCTAATAATCACAACGCATATAAAAAAAAAAATAAAACGAAAAAGAAAGCTATTCAGCTGATCCAGAAATTTTTAAATGACGTATCCTATTCCACCCTCATCTTCACAATGTCAAGCTATGACGAACTTCATCTTATACCTTGACTGCAATAGTTACCTTTCTTGTATCATGGATTGTAGCGATTTGAGTGGATTGTACGCCAGTAAATATAGCAAATCAAAGCCCTAACTCGACAAAAAAATTGTAAACATTATAGCTTGTTGTTTACAGACTTTTTGTTAATGCCTACTATTGGCTGTATTTGCTACCATACAATCCGATCAAATCGCTGCATTTACATGTGACACACGAAGGTGGCTATTACAGTCAAGTTATAAGACGAAGTTCGTAATAGCTTGACACTGTGAAGATGTTCCACCTCTTATTCTTAGCTTGATTGTAAGTAACTAAAAAACCACCAATTGAATAACATGTATATAAACAGTCAGATTTAAAACCTCGTAAAATATTATATTATACAAGGTTCAATGTTTCTTTTTCTGCGGATGAAAAGGAAAAACCTTGTTTACTGCACTATAATACGAGTTATTGGTTGAATAAGTCAGAGTACTCAAATTGTTATACGAGGTTTAAATTTTCTTAGAATGAAAACCGACCACGTATAGCGGTAAAAATAATATAAAAGATTTTTAACAAAATACGCATGCAAATAGTTTATTGCGTTTTTCTTGAAAAGTAATTTCGCATCATATATCGTTATACGAGGTTTCAAGAGGATCACGCACGATATAAGATATGCTATTTTTTCGAATACTAACTGAATTAAATTTAACAGCACTTTGAAATATATAGTTATAACTCCATAGGCCTGTGCTTTTATGGGAATTCTATTCTCGTAACACCCTAACCCTAAATAATCGTATTCGGAAAATTTACAATATCGTTGTAGGCTAAGTACTTATTGATGTATATTTTTTTCATTGAATTAAAAATCACGAATTATTTTTTTATTATTATTTCTCGTGAGATAGTAACAGGGATTGTGAAGAGGTTTTCTAAATTGTTTAGTGTAATCAGTGTTCTATATCTTTGACTCCGAAACATACTTGTAATGGTACACATTATTAAGAAGGCATGTTTAAAAATTAAAAACAGATATGGATGTCAAAGTTTACACACACGTGGCACACACGGCGAATTAAAATTTTTGAATAGGAATTATAGGAATATCACCCAAAAGTGAAATATGTCGTATTTGAGCCACCGTAAACGTCAGGGGCCCGGTTTTCGAAAGTATCTTATGACTAATACGTGTCTTACGATTGTCATATGATAGATCATAGTCGTTATATATGTTTTCTGTGGAAGCCGGCTGCGGCCATATCTACCCTCGACTTCTCGTACACGAGAAAGTGAGAAAACTCGACTTCTCGCCCACGAGGAAAAGGCTTGAAAAAGAAAAAAAGAGAGAAAGCGAGGGTTAAACAAACGCGAGGAAATAAGACGCGGGAAAAGGCGAGAAAGCGAGGAAAAAGTCGAGGAAAAAGGCGAGAAAGCGAGGAAAATTTTTCTCGCCTTTTTTCTCGCTTCCTCGCCTTTTTTCTCGCCTTTTCCCTCGCTTTCTCGCCCCTTTTCTCGCCCTTTTCGTAGCTTTTTCCTCACCTGTTTCCTTGCCCTTTTCCTCGGATCAAACTGAATTAGTTAATAAACAAGTCCAAGTTACTACTCAAAGGCAGTAACTCAAAAACCGTTCATTGAAAAATCGTCAAATTCGAATCTGTCCAAGCTCTCGTCAATATGAATTATTATACCCAATTTCATTTAAATTAGATGAAAACTTTAGTTTTATAATGTTCACAAACAAATTTTGACGCGTTTTTCCTAAGTCAAGGGCAATAACTCGAAAACCGTTCATCGAAAAATTGTCAAATTCAAACTAGACCAAGATCTCATCATTATAAATCATCACACAGAATTTTATTAAAATCCGATAAAAACTGAAGTCTCAATTGTGTTCACAAACAAAATTTGAGACGTTTTTTCTAAGTCATGGGCAATAACTCAAAAACCGTCCATCGAAAAATCGTCAAATTCGAATCAGTCCAAGATATCATCTATATAATTGATTACAAAATTGATTTAAATCAATGAAAACGGTAGTCTCTGTTGTGTTCAAAACAAATTTTGACTCGTTTTATCTAATTCAGGCAATAACTCAAAAACCGTTCATTTAAAAATCGTGAAATTGGAATCTGTCCAAGATCTCGCCAATATAAATTATTACACCAAATTTCATTTAAATCAGATTAAAACGACTATATACGACCATATTGTCATAAGAACGTATAAAAACTACCACACGGATTCAAACAAAATAAATTGTTGAGAAACTTATCTGAACCTTCATTTAAGTTAATCTTGCCTTACTTTTTGTTGAAGCCTAAAATTTTTAAAATGTTATCGTGGACTTTTTCTGTTTTTTGATAGGTGATAAAAAACTATTTGTAAAGAAATATGTCTTCAACGTATTCAAAAGGTTTCAACTAGAAATAGATAGACTTTTTAAGGCACAGCATGAATTAGTGCGTACCGTTTTTGATTAATCCTTTTAAAACCAATTCAGTTTGATAAAATAGTTACGTAAATATAATATATATTCAAGAGAATTCGTTCTTATGTAATATGAAATTTATGGATAATGATAAAAAGTCAAAATCTATCTTTTATTGTCACCCTTAATAATATAAATTTTAGAATCCTATATAGGATTGTGTAAGGTAATATCATTAATAGTTTCTATGAAGGCTAAGCCTAAAAATCGTATCGTATGCTTGATGATTCAAACAATATTTATTTAAGCAAGAATTAACATATAAGTTACTGAATTGGGTAGCCGATTCTGGCAATCTCAAATATCTCGCCCCCTGGCCCCCCTCGACGTAAACCTGGCTCCGCCACTGGTGCTTGATGAAAACCGAGATTCCTCATACAGTTTGCAATGAGAGGTGCCACGGACCAGGCCTATGATTGTTCGCAAGGCAGTCTGAACTAAGGATAATGCCTAGATGTTTGTGGTGGTAAGAATCAGTTACATGTTGGTTATTGAAAGCTATAGAAAAATTTGTTGTACGGGAGAAAGTCATACTGATGGTTTTTTCTGGACAGAAGACAACGTTCCATGATTTGGCCCAGTTCTTTATTTATCTTAGATCTTCATTTAAATTCTTTTGACAAAAATCTGGGTTATGAATTGACATATACGTGGAAGTATCATCCGCAAATAGCCGAAGTGAGGACTAGATGTCTATGATGAAGATGATGAATAAAAGTGGCCCCAACACAGATCGTTGTGGGACACCATTTGCTTCTGGATCCAAGGCCATTAATGACGGCAGACAGGTTTCTGTGAGATATATAACTCTTAAGCAGTTCGAGAACATTTCCCTTGATACCAATGCAATACCGGATGCAAAACTCTATCGAAAGCCTTACCAATGTCAAAAAAGATGGTATTTACTTCTCCCCCTCTATCTGGGAGCCGCGGTGGCTCAGTGAGTTAGACGCTTACTAACCTCGCTAACCTGAAGGTCCTGGATTCAATCCCGACATAGGTCGAATAATACCTTCAGATTTCCCCCTGTCAGTGATGCAGGTAAGAGGGGCTGACATGGAAAAAGCGTCTAGTCGTTCGGATGAGACAATAAACCGAGGCCCCGAGTGCTACATGCTGTGCACGTTAAAGATCCCTCGACAGAGCAGGCCAATGCCGCTGTCCTGGCAAAATTTCCCTCATTGCACCTTGCATGGCGTTACCCGTCTTCTTTAGCCCACATGGTGCAGAGTTAATATTTTGTTATTAATGTTGTTGCTGTCGGATGCCTTGTTTGATTTCAAAGATGCTAAAATACATTTAATGTTGCCAGGAGAGAATTCGAGTTCACAATTTAGCATAGATGGAAGCGGTTGGTTGGGATTTGGTAGATGTGCCTGATTGACTAAAAAATGGTTTAATATTTCAGCTTTTTCATCATCGTTATCAATGACTCGATTTTCCGAAAGCAAGGGCGGGATTTTAACTTTATTACCTGCTTGTCCAGAAGTTGCCGATCTGACAAGTTTCCACCAGTTACTTTGTTGGAATGAGCCGTTGCTTATCTTGTAATCCAATTTTTCGTCATGTTCTCGTTTGACCCTACAGATCTCTGCAGTAACAACATTTCGGAACTGACGAAACTCCTGCCATTATCGAGGTGCCATTGATGATTTGGTGCCGAAGATATCCGTTCATCCAATCCTTATCACCTTGGCGTATAGTTACTTCCTTGTTGGGCACAAACAGTTTTAGAGCATTGATAATGGTTTGTTATATTAAAATTTTGCTCTGCCAGTTGGTTTGGTTCAGTTAAAGAGTCAAAGATAAAGTTCCAGTTAGTGCTAAAGAAGAAGCTGTTCAGATGATCAAAGTTTGTTTTGGAGTAGTTCCAGATAGTACGCTTGAGTTTGGAGTTTTGTTAGACATAAATGAACAGTAATTGGACAATGGTCGCTGATTCCTGCCGGAAAATTCCAGAATCGTGGACAAGATTAGGACAAGTAACATCAAGGGTAATCAATGAGTGAAGAACTGTGATTCTAGTAGGACCGTCGATAATTTGTGTGAGTGAATGGTTGATTATCAGATTTGTTAGTTTATGTTCATTTCTGCAGAGAAGGTTTGCATTCAAGTCACCAAGAACGATGAGAGGTTTACCAACTTGCTTGGCCAATGATAAACTTTCTTCGATGAGATCCCAGTAGGAAACATACGACCCCGGAGGCCTGTAAAATGCACCAACCAAAAAGCTTAATTTACAGTGAACAATTTCAGTTCATACACCTTCTAAGCCAGGAACACATAGCGAGGTTTACTTATAATATTATCTTTAACATAGATAGCAACCCCACCACCAAGGCTATCGCACTGTAATATAATTGGTGGGTGATATGACTCCTATCTTTAAAGTTATTGTAAAGGTGTTTTCTTCTTATGTGTATCGAGAACAGGGGGTAGACGAATGTAAATTTTCGGGCATGACTCTCATATCTAGATATTTCGCCCCCCCCCCCCCCGCCCCCTCTTTCCCTCGGAGGTCAACCTGGCTCCGCCACTGGGGTCCACTCCACTATTGAAAAAATCAGAATGACAAAACACAATTGTATACGTTTTACCTATCAGTATTTGTCCTTTACAATAAAATAAAATAAAAAGCGATAATAAGGGCTAAAAAAGACTCACCGTCGTTGTATTCTAAACGGATTTTTAAAGAGGTTTTCTAAAAAAAATGTTATGACTATCATTATGCTAGTTTTGCACAATTCCAATTTTCAATCAGTCTGGGGTTCCAGCAATTCCAATAAGTGTCAGATGGCGTTTTAAGTAACCACGAAGATAAAGTGATAAAGTAAATTTCGCGACTATAGTGACGTCATCAAACACTTAATTTAGTGGGATTGCAGACAATAGACTAAAAATTAGAATAGTGCAAATTAATATTATCAGTGTCCTTGATACACATAATTTAAAAAAATAATATTTACAATCCCTTTAAAATACATGTCTTTTCTTTTGACCAAAAGCGCTTGTATATTATATACATGTAATTGCATTCTAAGTTTTTAAGAAGTTTTGTGACGTGTGTAAAATTCAGCTTTGACAGTTTCAACTCGAACATGATCACGATCTCGGTCTTCCAGATGATGCTGCAGACGATGTCCGTATTCTGTAGACGATAGAGTAGGAACGATCTTATTACTCTCCTCTTGGTGTACATTTAAACCAACTGAATTGAAGTGTTCTCGATCATCGCGATGCACCTTTTGATTGTAACCGTCTTTTATTTTAAAAAGTCTGTCGAAGGTTGAATTCTTCTTCTTTTTATCGTTCAGGAAGTCGGGAGTATTGTAAAATGTTTGATCCGGAGGTAAATCGTTCCTGTTTTTCGGAACAAATGACATGGCCGACAATTCACACGGCCGACCTTTCATCACCAAGGTTTCATTTGGAGTGTTCAGCTTAAATACTGTTGGAATGCTCATCTCAGTGGTTGAATTTTCCGATCAAAACACAATTCAATTCCGGTGGCTTGTAAGAATACACACAAATCACAATATGAAATAACGATTAATTTATGCAAGTCCGGATATCTTGAGGGATCGGATTTCGTATTCCACAACCAGTGCCTTCGAAAGTCGACTTCAATCTTGTAACATTAAATAAGTCTCCTCTGCGATTTCACACAAATCAAAATTATTCCTTATTAACTATTAAGAGCTGCTATTACTTTAAGCTAAGTCCTTGCGGATTTTGTAGCATTGTTAATATCCAAACTTTGCTCGTTTACTATAAGCACTGCGGAATGAGGACTGTTTACGTTAAGGTTGATATGAAAGTTTGTTTACAACAAATCGTAGCTATAGAGACAATCTTGGTAATTAAATATTAATCTGATTAATTATGTAAACTCTAAATCGAGTGTGGATAATACGAGACCAATAATAGTTTATTGTGGATTAACGTTAGAAAAGGGCGAATGCCATTGACAGCGTGGCCAAGAAATTTGTTGTATTTGTCTTGCTGCTGTCAGAAATAGAATGAAAAATTCATTTCCTTTTTAAATCACCCCTATTTGTATAAACCACACCATGCAATGTGATTCCTGCTATTCCAGAAAAAACATGACCAGATCATGGTTTGCAATTTTCAATCGACATTCGAGATTGTCCGACGGGGAAAAGAAATGGCGCAATTAGAAGCTATAGGCCTATATCCGATACAGAAACAGAGGATACAATACCGATCTGTTTGACAAGCATCTATGTTTCTAAGTGATTGATCTCATGAAAAGAGAATTTATAGGCTATAAGATAGCTTGCCAAAAAAGGTAACATACACATGACAGCACATTGGATAGAAATTAGATCTAATTTGATGCGTCTTCACTAAGTCAAGGGAAAAAAATCCTGTTCAATCATAAGTCGAGGGTAATTACACAAAAATATTTTCACAAAACCCTACCAAAAATCTGCAATCTCTCGTTCCCACGCATATCGAGTCTAGTCAAACTTAGTCCTATACTAGCTATATAGGTCTACATGTAGGGATGCAGGCTGAAAATTTTCTGAATATCGCATAGCGTGAGTAACAGCATGGGTGTGTTTTAATATTTCTAGGCTTACAGGTATATTGAAATCATAAGTCGAGGACAACAATATAACAAAATCATTCATGAATAAATGATAAAATTTTTATCACGTATCATTCAATAACACCATTGACTCTTAGTTGCCATGCATACCTTGTGTCACCTATATACTTGGTTGCTTTTTCCAGACGTGCCCAGTGGCGGCGCCAGTGGGAGTACAGGGGGTGCGGGGTGTTAATTTGCCCCCCTAGAAAAGTGGTTTGCACCCCTCTTTATTTTCAACAAATCAAATGTCTACTTTTTTTCTCCAAAATATGTATCAGAATGCAAAAAATAAATTCATTTTTTGTAAGATTTTTTGAGAGAGCCCTCTGAGGCACTCTATGAGAGGCTTGCGACTATGACATCACCACGGAGTAGCCAAAATTTGAATTCAGCCTCAGTAGTTGTCCCCCCGTTGAGTCAGTCTGCCCCTTTTTGTACCCCAAGTCTTGGTAACGCTTGTCATTGCCACTAATCCAGTAGCGGTGCCTTGTACCCGAGAAAAGGGATATAATACGGACAGTCTGACTCAATAGGAAGACAACTGTCGAGATTGATATTCAAAACGCAGCTAGCCGTTGCTCTCACAATCCCATATTATTCTCGTCATTAAGTTTGATTGGTAGAGAGTTTACTTCTCTACACTTACTACACGTGCAAGTACCTTTCTGTCAAGTTTCAAATCGATCATTGATCTCCAAGTGCGTTGGTGCGAATGTGCAACAGTTTCCGACGATTCAATGAAGGCCGCCATTTTCATACACCGTCCTTTTACTTCAAATATTACGAGATTTCTGATTGGATATATCAAATGGTAAGGTATAGTCTGTCATAGACGGTTATTAGTCTCTAATGACGAGCAACGGTTAGATGTGAATAATAATCATACCGTTGCTAAAGGAACATGACATCTTGCCTACGTTGTGGCTATTACCCCATGTCGAACGTAAGCAAAGTGAAAAGGGCCTATCCTTCAGCTAACTTTTTATAAATCATTCTCACCATCGATAGCTATCTATGAATACATTAATGCGCCAAAACAGATTTTTTTGTTCAACCATCCTTAGCTTTATATTGAAATAACAGCGGTTGAGTTTACAATAGTCAATATGACGAGGACGTATCAAAACACAATATATTAACAAAATGATTTAACATATTTAATATGGTTTATAAAATGACTATTATGTAGAATGCTTTATTTTCATTTAGAGCCAGCATGACCATTTTCTGTACCTAATATAACACATAATGCATCTCTGTAAAAAAAAGAAACATAACAAATGGGAATAGGGATATATATTCAAAATGGCAGAGAAAATCTAACATGTCTGACAATAGTTCTAACATGCCTGACAATAGTTCTAACATCATGTTACTATAGCTCTTAGATGCTCTTACATGTTTGAATGGGTTTTAACATGTCTATCTCTAGTTTTAACCTGTCTGACTATAGTTCTAACATGCCAGACTATTGTTGTAACGTATCTGACAATAGTCTAACATGTCTGACTATAGTTCTAATATGCCTGGCCATAGTTCTAACATGTCTGACTATTGTTCTCACATATCTGACGATAGTCTAACATGTCTGACTTAGTTTAAAAAAAAAAACCTGAGTATAGTTCTAACATGTCTGACTTATTTTCTAACAGGCCCGGCTTTAAATGTTTAAATAGGGTTATGTCCATTGGCAAAACCGCATGTCATTGATCCCAGATTATCCATACCCATTTATGCTTGGATTGACTGGAATAATGATGAAAGGTGACTCATTCAAATGAAATTCATTTTTTCTTACTATCTTACCTAGCCTCTTTTATTTGTTGTTTTAATCTTTCTTTCACTCCAGCTAATTTTGCATCTTTTTCTTTTTCTATTAAATCTTTTATGGTAGCTCTATAACCAGTGACATTGTGTAAGATATGTATAACTCTATCTCCACTACTAGCTAAATATTTACCACTCACATCAAACGATAAGGCACTTATTTTTTCTGGAAAAAAAATGTATTCAAGGATGCTTTGATGCCATGAGGGAATAGATATCTAAATAAATTGTCATGAAGGAAATCGGCACATCCAATTTCAAAAGAACAGGAAGGCCATTTTTTTTTACCAATCATACTTTAGTTTCAGAAACTGGAATTTGGCATGAGCAGAAATTAGACCCCCACAAAGATTGAAGAATTGCTGAGATAGATCCAATTTTTGCTAGAAAGTAGAATATTGGCAACTGGTTGTAACTGAGCTTTGATCAACAGTTCAAGGGTAGTAACTCCAGTAAATGATCAGAATATCTCAGATGCTAGTAGTTGTTGACACCTAGTTTCCCTTAGATTCTGTCAGTCCAAAGGTCAACCTTAACTCCCATAAGATACTTGTACATTACATACCATCTTCACAATGTCAATATTACAAACCTTGTCTAATACCTTGACATCAATAGCCACCTTTCTTGTATCACAGATTGATTTGAAGGATTGCTAGACTGAAACATGTCTCTATATCAGCCTCTGATAGCGATTTGGACATATGTCAGCTGGTGTAGAGACAGAAAAAATAGGCCCTGTTAAATGGGAGTATACCATCAAGTTCAAAGGTCACAAGATACTAACAAAACGAAAGTTATGGTGATACATATTTGGAGATGTGGAAAATCCCCATTTAACAAGGTATTTTTCTTCCGTCTTGTTCTTGAAAATGTGTTCAATTCTTTAGCTCGTGAAAACTCTAGAAGGCAAATATTCAATCTTCAGCCAGGACTGAACAATAAAACCAAGTTTTGTCAAAATCCAGCAAGAATCATGCCCTTTAGTGTTTAAGAGCTAAATTTGAAAGCGTTTTCAAGAACAAGGACAATAACTCATACAAAATATTTTTCAATTCTTCTGATTTTCAATAGGGTTCATCCTTGGGTGAGTACGAACATTCACACCAAGTTTCATCAAAATCCCTCAAGAATTGTGCCTTCTAGAATGATTACGAGCTAAAAATTTAAAGCGTTTCAAGAACAAGGGCAATAACTCATACTAAATATTTAGGTAATTCAATATTATATGAAAACGCATATTTGGAGATGTGGAAAATCCCCATTTAACAAGGTATTTTTCTTTCATCTCTACTCCAGCTGACAACTGTCAAAATATCCATCAGATGCTGAGGCAGATGTTTCGGACTAATGGATTGTATGCTTGGAAATACAGCCAATCAGAGCCCTTCACATAAAGACATTATGGCTGCAAGTGTAGATACTAGTTCTCATTTGTGTTGTGAGCTTAAGTTTTGATTTCCAGAAAAAAATGGACTTTCTTTATGTTGCATAAAAAAGAGTCTCATGATGTCAAGGTATAAGACAGAGTATGTAATAGCTTGACATTGTGAAGATGATGACATACCTGTATGTACATCTTTCATTACTTCTTCTATTTTACCAGTGATTGCATTCGCTGCCATAATAGTTGTTCCTCCAGCCATGGCTACAGCTCGACCATCTAAACTTAATGATATCAAGTCCATTGGTTGTGTTAGGGTACCAGTAAACAACAACTTAGGTTCTTGATCCATTTCAAATTTTACTACAAAAATTCAAACATGAATTGATTCATTAAAAGCCCCTCTACAGACAATTTATTTGCAAAATACGTCATATTCTCAAAAAAGTGTAAAAAGTAAAACTTGAATTTGAAAAAGACAACTCATTTTTAGAAATTCTTTTTTGATATTTTTTACATTAGTATTGTCATGACACTTTTAGGGCTGCAATGATTCACCAATGAATGTCTATTCTTTCTTTCCTTTTCGATGCATTGCATTGGATAAAAATTATCACGATGTATTGTCACGATTATTTACAAACTCTCTTTAATAAAAAATGAAACGAAATCTTAGATTATATAACAAAATTTTTTCATGCCATAAATTAACATCGAAAAATAGTTAGCAAATCTTTGTATAAAGCTATTTTGGAATTCAAATTATTTCATTGTCTCTGGTTTGGTACCCTATTTTGCTACATTTTGAAGAAATCTATTTGTCCACAAATGATAAAAGGTTTATAACATTAATTTCCAAATGTTTTCCCCACCAAAAAGTGACAAATTTGTTATAATGTCCAAATTTCTACTTATTTCTTTCTGATCTTTTCTAATAAAAAATTTTCAATTTTCATTTAATTTGTATTGTTGGATGAGTTTTGGTAAGTGTATCGAATCACAACTTAAAAAATCGTTGCAGCCCTAGAAACTTGACTTACCATCTGTATCAAATAATTTCCATGTATTGTCTTTAGATACTGTAGCTACCCTAAAAATAGAATTGAATGTCAATAGAACCCTCATCTTTACAATGTCAAGCCATTACCAACTTCATACTTATGCCTTGACTGCAATAGTCACTATTCTTGTATCACAGAATGTAGCGATTTGATTGATCACTAGCGAATAGAGCCAATCACAGCACACAACAGAAAGACTTTAGACATTATGGCTTTGTCTTTACAGACTTTCTGTCAAGGCCTCTGATTAGCTGTATTTGTTAGCGCACAATCCAATCAAATCGTGTCATTCACAAACAGCCATGATACAAAAAAGGTGACGTAATGAAGTTCGTAATAGCTTGACATGGTGAAGATACAGAGTATGTTTGGATGAATTGTTGGAAACTTATGTTGAATTTCATTTCTTAAAGATGGGTTTCCTTATTTTTTAGTGTCAAATTAAGCGACTTATCTGATTAATTGGTATATCTAATGAATTATCAAGTATTTATCATGAGTTTTAACCAATCATAAATGTCCAGGTATGTACAGTCGTGGTAATCAAAAAAAAAGACTTTTTGACCTTTCTTGATCGGTCACTTATTGGAATTCTGCTGGTAATTCTCTTCTAATTTAGCTAATTATGAATTAATTATGAACACTGGAGACAAACTGGTATTTTTCCAAGTCATTAGAACACGTCTAATTTTTTTTCATAGAAGTATTTGCATTTTCACGAATGAAAATAAGGGAACCCATCTTTAAACAGATGAAATCAGTTGTGGATTTTGTTAGAGAACAGGATATCACATTTTCTTTTTGAAAAGTGATATGGATGGCTAAAATTGAGCTTTACTAGCTGTTAAACCAATATTTTGACAACTGTATTACAATAACAAATGTGAAAAATATATCACCTGCAGGAATCATTGGAAAAACTGAAACAATTTACACCAGAGTTATGTCCCTTTAATTCGTAGGCTCGCTTGGATTCTTTAAAACTTCCACCTTTATCAAATATTACTTCCCATACCTTGACATCAGATGTAAAACCTAAAATAGTCAAAATTTCAGCTTTGTGTTTAAGATATGGAACTTTATGGCCTACTTTTTTAAAACTTGATTCGGGTTAAAAGCAACATTATGCAGTGTGCTATGAGGCAAATTTTGCTGTGACTGATGCACTAGACTACCCTTTCTCAAGTATCAGCTTCTAAGTGAACCTATTAAAGTTGTAATTGTGAAAAAACAACACTGAGTTCTCAATTTCACAAAATTACCAGATCTAAATTGAATCTGATGGAATGCAGGTTTACTGTAATAATACATACCAGATACACCAAAAAACCTTCCACAAGGAGAAATAGTACCATAATAATTTTGAAACAGTAAGGTATCTAAAGTGTCAATTGGCTCTCCTAAAAAGATAACAAAACACCAAATATACAAACAAAATGTCATGACTGAGCAGTATCAAAAAAAAGAAGTCGACGACAATTTTGCATTGAAACTCTTTGACAGGGCAGTTGTATACAAATGTGAACCCCCTTTCAGAAGAAAAAAAGGTGACTTTGCAAATGCAACTTAAAACTAAGAAGGGATGCTGTTTCAAGGGGTTTTGCAGTAATATTAACTTTTAACAGTTGATTCTGCAATTTGATTATAAATATCTAAAAGCCACAATGCTTCTGTTCAGTAAGATGTCTTTATATTAATACAAGTCATAAAGAAACAAGATTCTCTACCTTTGATATCCCATAATGTGACAATAGTATTTTCATATACAGTTAAAATATATTTTCCATTACTAGCTATACTGATATTAATAATCTCTTCAGAACGTTTCTACAAAAATAAATAGCATATTATCTTATATCGCGCGTGATCCTCTTGAAACCTCGTATAACGATATATGATGCGAAATTACTTTTCAAGAAAAACGCAATAAACTATTTGCACGCGTATTTTGTTAAAAATCTTTTATTATTTTTACCGCTATACGTGGTTTTCATATTTTGAAAATTTAAACCTCGTATAACAATTTGAGTACTATGACTTATTCAACCAATAACTCGTATTATAGTACAGTATACGAGGTTTTTCGTTTTCATCCGCAGAAAATGGAACATTGAACCTCGTATAATATAATATTTTACAAGGTTTTAAATCTGACTGTTTAAATACGTGTTATTTATTTAGTGGTTTTTGGGTTATTTACAATCAAGCTAAGAATAAGAGCTTTCGATTGGTACCAATTAGTCAAAATGACCAAATATGGTGTGAACAAGGTTTCAAGCGGTCATAAACGAAATTTTTTCAGTGTAGTTTAATCATTCTCCATTTCAAATATTAAGTGATATTAATAACAACTTTGACCACGGGATACTAGGTTTAAATGTCCAAAAGGTACTGTAACAGCTTATGCAAGTATTTGAAATATGGACTTCAGCTAAGGGCAGAGAAAACAGCGAATGAGATCCTCAGCCAGTATACTTGAGGGGTTCTGTAGAATAGTTGGTAAGAGCGATGGTATCGTTACATGACGTTGTTGTGGTTGTGGGTTCTAATCTTGGTTGACAAGTCTTTAGGCCTGTAATAAGTCAGCTATCCTCATCATTTCAGTCCATCAGTTTATACAGTAAACTATTTCCAAAAAGGTCCTCAAAATTATCTGACAACAAGAAATAAATTTGAGTTTTGACAGAACTGCCGAAGAATTCCATAAAATACCTGAGGAAAATCTAGAGCTGGAGTCATGGTAACAGAACTATTATCATCTTTTTTACCCAGACGGTAAATTCTTAATATATTCTCATATTTTAACTTGACCACAAATGCTCTGAAAAAAAAATTGTGCTACTAGTTTTTCATAAGAACACCAAACCATATACACTTTCTTATATTTTTTATTTTATTGGGCTAGAGGATAAAGTGAAACATCTTTTAGTTTTTAAAAATGCAATCAATCGGTATTCAACGAGAACAAGGCACTAAATTTCAATATCGAATTATGCTACAGATATCTGAAATTTAACTCAAAACAATAAGTTATACTCTCTTATAGAAGCACTGGCCTAGGTCAACAGTACCTACTTCTGGTGAGATTTACAAGATTAACAAATAAAAAATGCAAAGCGATTGCTACAGGGAGTTAATGAAAGGGGATCTAATCTATCATGGACAAGAACATTACTAAGATTTTACTCCTTTTGTAAGCATTATAAGACTTAAATTTTCACTTACTTTGAATCTGGACTAAAAGCTATTTTACAACCTTCATCTAATTCTACATTTCCACGGACTGATCTATATAATACAAAATATTCAAACTATCATTATGTCATGAGAAAATAGTCTTTCCAGTCCAAAATGGGTGTCATTTTAAAAGGTATATTCTGGGAGGGAATTGTATTAACTTCAAATGTAAAACCATAAAAAATATTGTATTCCTATAGAGCATAAGAAAATTTTAAAAAAATGACATTTAATATATCGGTAATGAATTGTGAATTGAATTTTTTGATCATTTCATTTAGTTAAAAATTCACAAATCACTGTGGTTGGAAAGTAAAGAGGACAGCTGTCACACTTACTTGTGTATTTTCTGTTGAAATTCTTTTGTACTCCATAAAAATATTGATCTATCTAGAAAATATAATATAGCATGATTATAACTCACACTGTGTCAAGATTAGTTCACAATCAAATATATTTTATATATACAAAGTAATTGTCAATTATTGTCATGAGTCAATAACCATGGATTCAATTAAGTCACTTGCAATGCAACTAGCTAAAAAAGATAAAAATAATTCTTCTGTGTCTTGAGAGGAATTGTAAAAAGGTTTTCTAAGATTTTTATGTGTATCAGGGACACTGATAGCATCATTTTGTACCATTCCAATTTCTAATCAGAGGTCTGTGGTTTCTGCAATTCAACTAAAACTAAATGTTTAATAATGTCACTGATCGTGAAGGGCCTATGTCATTCAAGCATAGTTTGCTATTAGTGACTTCATCAAACAGTTAGTTTTAGAGGAATTACAGAAACCACAGATGTGGATTTAATCTTTCAGAGAACCTCTTTACAATACTTTAAGTTGCTCAAGAGACAAACTTAGTATGCTGCATAATTACAACTTTAAAACAAACGTCATAGACATTTTTGAACTGTTGACGATTTTTTTTCTCCCATGAATAGCTAAACTTATAAATAAAATCAGGGCATTCCGGCTTGTATAATGTTAATCAGAGCTCTATGAGATCTTTTAAGTGATTGTAAAAAGGTTTTCTAAACTTTTTATGTGTATCGGGGACACTGATAGCATCAATTTGCACCATTCCAATTTTCATTCAAATGTCTGTGGTTCTTGCAATGCCACTAAACCGTGTTTTATGACGTCACTAGAGGTGAACTACCAGAAGCCAAGTACCGGTACTATTAATATCTATGCAGTTGCCCTCTAATGACATCATAAAACACGTTAGTTTTAGTGGAACTGCAAGAACCACAGAGGTCAGAATGAAAATTGCAATGGTGTAAATTATCGGTGTCCCCGAAACACATAAGTTTAGAAAGCCTCTTGACAATCTCTTTACGATATATTTTTTTTCATTTTTGCTAAATATGAAATGAAATACAATAAGTCAAGTCTAACCTTCTGCAGAAGAAATAAGATATTTTCCATTTGGACTAAAATCAAAACTAGAAACAGAACCAGTGTGTCCCTTTAAGGTAGTTGATAACCATGGATGGGTGAAATTATTATTGGCTGATTTCTTCGATGAACCCTTTTCTACAACTTTAGATTTCTTCTGGTTTTCCTTTTGTTTGCCATGGCCTGATTTTTCAGTTTTTGTTACTTCTTCTTTGGTCTCTGCAACAAGTTAAAAAGACAATCAATATTGTGACATTTTCTTTGTACTAATGACAAAGTTATGAAAGCACAGGCACAGGACTTTTAAGTTCTTTAATTTGAAAAACCAAAATGTACTTTAATAATTAGATGTTCGTCAGTAGAGGCTTATTTATACAAAGTTATCTGAAGGGGGGAAGGGGGGGGGGGGGGGGGTAATTGAGTGTCAAATCTGCCATGAACTAAATGATTACCCAAGGCTAGTTTTCTTCACTCTCCCAAAGCCAAATAAAAATTGAATGAATCCTATGGTTATAGATTCAATAGATTTCTAAATTACTCTATCACCAACCATATTTTCAAAACGAAAGCAATGATTTAGTCTCAAAACAACACTGATTCAAATAAATAGATAAAATCAAACTTTTTGTGATTGCTTTTTACATGAATGCCTATGTGATGGACAAATTAGTTGTGGTCTGACACCATAAAAATAGACAATTAAATTTCTCACCCTTTTCGCTGTCTTTCCCTTTTCTACCAATATTGCAAAGCAAAACAAAAAGAAAAACAACTGCGCCAACTGCTGCAGTGATTGCAATCACGGAAATCGAATTATTACCATCGTCAGACATGATTTTAGAAAATGATGAGGTGTCGGTTTCACAATGATCTGAAAACGCTGGAAGTCTCGAATAACTAGCTCAAGGGACATAACTCACAATTTTAAGCATAAGAGTTGTCCTACTTTTACTGTCAATTGGGAAATTTAATGAACAAGTCAAATTGTTATTCTTGTTTTAAAAAAAAGGATAACTTGAACAAAATGTAGCCAACAAATTAATTAATTAACGAATCAAACCATTGTAGATAGTTTTATCTATTCCCACAAAATACCAACCAGTTTCTATTAAAGACTCAACGACCAAGACTGTGTTTATTTCCTGAGGTCAAGGATACTACTATAGCGTGGCGTTCTTTGACAACAACACAACCGTCAACGACTTCTCTTTCTCATAATTTTCTACAAGAAGACCTTGATACACTGTCTCACAAGTCCAAATATATAAAATGTCAAACAAAGTCGTAACTGATTACTTCAAACAGACAAAAGGAGTTTCTAGAACTTCAAGTAAATCGCCATTTGGTAAGCACGATTCAGTCTTTTATTTTTTTCAAAGATTTGTTATGCTTATATTTAGGTCTATTGATTGTATGGATGTCAATGTATGACATAATAATAATAATTCTATGCCTATTTTGATAAATAATATTGTAATTATTTGTTTTACATTCTTATGCCCCCTCCAGTGAACTGAATTTTGTATGTTGATTCACAAACAAATGTGTCAGAAGTTTCTCTCTTGGAACTTTTAGTTTTGGCATTGCCCATTGCCATTGGCTTTGTTTTTTTTTTTTTTCATCGGATTAGGTAATGTTATTAATAATACTTACAAATGATTGCAAATATCATATTTTCATACCTACATGACATACGAATGTATGTATTTTTTCAGATATTTCAGATAGTCCTGAATCATCTTCCCCAAGTTATGAGAAAGATTTAGAATTACTGAAATCATTTGATTTAAATCATGAATTTGGACCATGTACAGGTAATTATATCATATGTCACATTTCATGATGTCACTTTAAAATGGTTTGTTTAGATGCCTTTGAAAGAAAGAAAAGAAAGAAACAACTATATTTTACAAGAATGACAACTTGACAGTAAAGGATTCTTTCTACCAGCTGGTCCTTGGCCAAATCTCTTGGCATTGATCTTTCCCGGATTATCCGTACACATTTACAGCCGGGTCGACTGGAATAGTGAGTGAAGATGACTTATTGAAGGTCATCGGACTATCACACGCCAATCGAGAATTGAATCCACGGCCGCCATTTGCTCAGTGTTACCATGCAAATGACGTCATGTAAAGAACCAACACTCTTACTGACTGTGCTATAGAACCTCACAGTGACGTAATATAACACTTTGTTATAGTGGAATTTTATAGATATTTGACTGAAAGTTGAAATGGTACAAGGCTTACACAGTACCTTTAACCAAATGTATGAAACCTTTTTTGTTCAATAAAGTGAGATCTTTAGGCATAGATTACTGAGTATGAAACTTTATAATATACAGATTTATATAGACCTACTCTTTTATTGTAGGAATAACAAGAATGGAGAGATGGAACAGAGCAGATAAACATGGTCTAAACCCACCTCAATCAGTTTATGATTTATTATCACAACATTCTAATGATAGAGAATATACTCAAAAGTAGGTACCCCAGTAATAGAATGTTGGAATTGAGATACTAAGTACCAAGTTTTTTTTTCTATTACGGTACTCTTTAAAAGATTTTATTTATGAAAATGAAAATGCTAATACTTAAAATAGAAAGTAAAGGTGTTCTTTTGACTTGGAAAAATACCAGTTTGTCTCACATGTCCATAATTAGCTAAATTAGAAGAGAATTACCTGCAGAATTCCAATGAGTAACCGATCAAGAAAGAAAGGTCAAAGAGTCTGTACATACTTTACTGTTGTTATTTTTGTTTTTCAGTTTGTGGAAGGACTATCAGATTTGAAAGTGTTTTTCAACAGACATCCTTGTTACCTCTTAATCATATTATCTGTAGGATTGTACATATTCATTTAAAGATGGGTTCCCTTATTTTCATTTCCATTATGTCCATAATTAACTCATAATTAGCTAAATTACCAGCAGAATTCCATTGAGTGACCAAGAAAGGTCAACAAGTCTTTTTTTTTTTTTATCCAGACTGTATATACGTGGATATTTATGATTGGTTAAAGCTCTTAATTATATGCAATAAGAACATAATGATTGATTCAGAATTCATGATAATCCATTAGAAACACCAATTTAATCAAATATTTGCTTTATTTGATAATGAAAAATGAGGAAACCCATCTTTAAAGGGATAGTCTGATCTAATTTAAATGTGAAGAACTGGGCTTATTTTGAGTGATACTATATCTTAACTTTTTTATAATTATATACATTTCCCTGGAGATCGAGGAACTATTTTGAACATCCAATTTGCTGTAATAATAATAAGCAGTATTTACAAGAATAGATATTACAAGGCTGATGTTTTGCCAAGCCTTAAAAGAATATGGCAAAAATCAGACATTTCCTTTAACTTTTCACAAAATCATGAAGTAGGCTTGTAAAGACCATTTATTTTGATTTATTTTTTTTTTAAAAGAATGTTCGTTACTTTTTGCTTGTTTGACTGTACAGATATTTTTTAGCTTGCAGATTAGCTTATGGTATTCATTTATTGCTCAAAAGTACATAAAATTGGCTAGAGTAAGTAAATATTTTGGAAAAAGTAACAGAAGGATGAAAAGAGATTACTCCTTTATGTAAGGCTCAGAAACCAAGTCTCACTGCTCTGGTAAGACTGTGAAACAAATTTGGCCTTACCATTACTTTTAATATTATTTTGTATGAGAAAATTATTTCATAAAAATGATTGCATGCATTCAATTTATTTTTCATTTTTTTTGTTTTCTTTTTAAATGTCATTTGTTTTGATTATCAAAATTTATAATTTTGTTATTTGTTAAAGTCTTAATTATTTTTAAGTAAATGAGAAATTGTTTTGTTTTTGTAACTAACTTAAGATTTTTAGTGATTATTTATTGAAAGCCATTCTTATGTTAATTTAATAGAAGTTATTTGAATTTTACTTATTGTTACATTTTATCTAAAAGGCTTCATATATTGTGGCTTTGACCACAAGTTTTTTAATGTTTTATAATTTGCATCTTATCCATTGTATAATAAAATATATAGTCTTATATTTGCTTCAATAATTTGATATAGAGACTCTATCTTTAGTGTTTTTGTATAGATATTAACACAGTCTGATTAAGATAGTTGATAAAAAATGCAAAGTAAAGAAAGTTGGGTCTTATTTTATTTAGACTGGTTATTAACATATATTGCATCTTTCATGTATCATATTCTTTAGCATAATAACAATCATTAAAACATAATTTGCCTTTAATTATCAAATGAATAAGGATCTTGTTCTTGATATGGGAAAAAGAACACTGCTCTATCTGTGACAAGACAAATGAAGCAGGTCATGTTAGGTTTGTCACGTTTATTTGTCCATAATGATATCAAGAATGGTTGGATATATTGAAGAACAATCATAAATTCTGTTTCCAGACCAGTTTGGTCCCCAACTATGGCCCCCCACTATATTTGACAATGATGTGTCCTGTGTATATTTGATGACACTACTCAGTACTTCTACCTTTCCAGGAATTCCTAGGCTTTGACAGAATTTGAAAGCAACTCAATTTTTAGCATCATGGAAAATCTGATCACTCAATGGATAAATTCCAGTGCACCCAGGACCGAAAAACCATAATGACTGTCAATTGCTCAAGTTTTTGAAAGATCCATAGAGATTATGTGAATCGCTAATCCCAATCTCCCAAACCATCTTTATGTCATAGTATTTAAATTCTGAGAAATTCTTAGCAGGACTATAGAGGCTGTTGTGGATGGAATATAAAAGAGATCTGGATGAAAAAACAAGCCAGCTCAGGTAATCTGAGGCTAAATTATTCTTTGAGTAAATAATGAGAAAATTAGTAGCCTGCTTTTTAAAATTAAAACGAAATGATTAATTGATATTTTTTATATTTGGCATGACGTCCTCAATAATCTTCCTCTTCTTCACCTTCTTCATCAATAGAATCAACACCAACTTCTTCATAATCTTTCTCTAAAGCAGCTAAATCTTCTCTAGCTTCAGAGAATTCACCTTCTTCCATACCCTCACCAACATACCAGTGGACGAAAGCTCTCTTAGCATACATCAGATCAAATTTGTGATCAAGACGGGCCCAAGCTTCAGCAATAGCAGTGGTGTTGCTCAACATGCAAACAGCTCTCTGAACCTTGGCTAAATCACCTCCTGGTACAACAGTTGGTGGTTGGTAGTTTATACCGACCTTGAAACCAGTAGGACACCAGTCGACAAATTGGATGGTTCTTTTGGTTTTGATGGTGGCAATAGCAGCATTCACATCCTTGGGGACAACGTCACCTCGATACAACATACAACAAGCCATATATTTACCATGACGAGGATCACATTTTACCATCTGGTTAGCTGGTTCGAAACAGGCATTGGTGATTTCAGAGACAGACAGTTGTTCGTGGTAAGCCTTCTCTGCTGAGATAACTGGTGCATAGGTAGCCAATGGGAAATGGATTCGAGGATAAGGTACCAAATTGGTTTGGAACTCCGTCAAATCAACGTTGAGTGCACCATCAAACCTCAGGGAAGCAGTAATTGAGCTGACGATTTGACCAATCAAACGGTTCAGGTTGGTATACGTTGGTCGTTCAATATCAAGATTTCGGCGACAAATATCATAGATAGCTTCGTTGTCAACCATGAAGGCACAATCAGAATGCTCTAATGTTGTATGGGTAGTAAGGATAGAGTTGTACGGCTCAACAACGGCAGTCGATACTTGAGGTGCTGGATAGACTGCAAACTCCAGTTTGGATTTCTTACCATAGTCAACACTTAGACGTTCCATCAGCAATGAAGTGAACCCAGAACCAGTCCCACCACCAAAACTATGGAAGATGAGAAACCCTTGAAGACCAGTACATTGGTCGGCGAGTTTCCTTATCCTGTCCAAAACAAGATCGACTATTTCCTTTCCAATGGTATAGTGCCCTCTTGCATAGTTATTGGCAGCGTCTTCTTTGCCGGTGATGAGCTGTTCAGGATGAAAGAGTTGACGGTAAGTACCAGTTCGGACCTCATCGACAACGGTTGGTTCCAGATCTACCATGACAGCTCTGGGAACATGTTTACCAGCCCCGGTCTCACTGAAGAAAGTGTTGAAGGAATCATCTCCACCTCCAATTGTTTTATCAGAAGGCATCTGACCATCAGGTTGGATACCATGTTCTAAACAGTACAACTCCCAGCAGGCATTGCCCATCTGGACACCAGCTTGACCAACATGAACTGAGATACACTCACGCTGAAATAGAAATTTAAAATTAAGAACGCATAATGTCCCTTTTGGCTTACTTTAAGATAACCTTTCGGTGATTTTGTGAAGATGATTTAACATTCAATTACTGAAACTTCGTTCAAATTGTAGGCCTTATCAGTGGGGGCATTTTGCATATCATCATCGGGCTCAATGAAAAAACCAAATCGCTTAACCAATATTTTGATACTTCATAATTGTTATACTTTTTTATACGTTTTATCTCAATTTTTTATAATCTGTAGCCTTGTGTGTGTGATAGAGTACTATCGATGACAAGTGTTGGCCCTCTTTGGGACACTATCTGAACGCGTGAACCAAGAACTGCTTTTATATTTTCACGAAATGAATTTTGCAATGGTGTTTATGAAAACTTTAAGCGACGTTAAAAATCAAACGAAAACTTACCATTTTGAATGAAAAAAGAAGACCTCAAGAATAGACTGAAAGAGTCAGCGTTGAGTTATCATCTAAAAGATTCTAATAATTTTTAATTCAGTTTATATATAGAGACGCCTTGTTTTGTTGACTGGTATCCATGGAGACTATCAATTCGTTTAATTAAGACATAAATTTTGAAATCAAAAAGGCAAAATCTTATTTGATTTATTAGTCATACGAGATAAAGCTTTCCACTTTATTATTCTATATATTTACTTATTTGATAACCTAGCCACTGATAAAAGTATTAAAATATATTCGTCAACTGGGAAACTATAGAGACCCTGTTAAAATATTGACCCTTATATCAATATTATGAACCATTGAAATTAAATACTACCCTCGAATATTTATGGCATTCAACTCGAATGGAAATCTTGATCTTGTCGGTGGCACAGAAACTCGATATTCTTGCCAATGCATGCATTTTTCGACCAATTAAATTCGTGAAATTAAACACTTTATCTCTGTTTCTCATTTTCCATAGTTCCATGGTCAAAGTTTTGTTGTATGTATCGAGAACACTGATAGCATCAATTTGCACCATTCCAATTTTCAATCAGACGTCTGTGGTTCCTGCTATTTCACTAAAACTAAGTTTTTATGCCTATATATGCCATAGGAAACACGATCTGGAGGTCGTTAATCCATGACAAGAATGCCGAAATGTTGAAGGCATCAAGATTTGTGTCTATTGTTATTCCATGGCCATAGACAGCTGTAAAATGGGAGGGCGGACTTTCCTGGGGGCCATGGAGGACAACACTCTTAGGCTTAAGCCACCATGCTCATACAAAGACAGTTTGTTATTTTGGTCCAGTAGGAAAATCCTTTTCTGAAGTGGAACTAAGTTTTTTTTTTTATATAATTGACCAAACCAAAGTCCCCGGAGAAGGCCAAAAATATAATCTGAATGCTTATTGTCAGGAAAGCAACGAGAACACATGATATCCCTTTATATGTTCATGAACTAATTTGTATATTTAATTGTCGCCGATTGCTTAGCCTAGTATATACCATATTTATCGTCCTTGATCTTGGATATCTGTGAACCGGGTTTCATCACTGATCTATATAAATATAGATATACCTTACTGCAAACAGAACTGCCTTCTTGGCCTCATCAGTGCACGTGCTGATACTGGAGTTGAGGTTTGGCTATATATAACCGCCGCAGATGATCCCGCATAGGCCTATGCTCGCACTATGCCAAAAAGCTCAAACTAGCAAGCTAGTGGGCTACGCATACACGCTAGAGACAATGGTACACTCTAGATAGAGTGATCAACAAGGTATGAAGCACGGAGCATATGTAACTGCTAACAGAACTGTTTCGGCCTTCTGGGCCTCGTCAGTGCAGTGCTGATACTGATATAGATATATTCAATCATTGAGATAGATTATATAGATCAGTGAGTTTCATCGCTCTATAATGATTTTTATAGGGAATTTAAATCGTAAAATGAAGGCTAGAGTATGTAAAATGAAATAATACAACGCCATCCATTTAAGAATTAACTTGAATCATTGGCTTGTAAATAATTAATTTGAAACGCATTATGAAATCGATGTAGTCTGTAGTATTTAATCTAATTTAGAGTTATCTAAAAGACCGGAAGTTGCTCATACGCAGGCGCTTTGAGACATATTTTGTTGACAGAAAATAACTTGAAAAAATGAATTGATTGCAAATTTATGGTTCATTATAAAGTGAGAATATATTTTGTTGTTAACACTTACATTATCCGTCATTGTCAATAAAACTGTATGAGTTTGACAAATATTTTTGAGCCCCCTTCTCCATACATGCTATCCAGCGACAGCATCAGTAATTCGCAATCCAATCGGCATCTTTGGCTTGACTGCCTACTCTTCTCACTTGACAGTTCTCATTCTCCATGCATTGGTCTTTTTATTAAATGATTCGCTAGTTTTATTTGATGGATTTGATATTTTGTTAACTGGCCAATTAAAAGCACCAGTACTAATCCCTACATTTAACAATAGTACTACCTAACTCAACTGGTACTGGCACTATTGACTGACAGTAGCCTTAGCACCATTCAGGATCAGGTTCGCAAAAAAAAAAAATAGTGTTTGCCATACTATGCTACAAAGTTATAAATACAAAATTGTCATGATTATTTCATATTATGACTATGCTCTATAAATACATGAAGGGATTAACAATCAGTAAAATTCTCTTAATTCCCCCAGGAAAACTATGGTGGCACTTTACCGTTCAATAAATAATTTCACCTAGAATAACAAGAGTAGGCTAACAATGTACACTGGCCAAACAATTGGATCATCATATATTGTCTGGGCCTCAATGCTTATTGAGTAGATGCAGTAAGAATTGGATAATAAATTACTGATTTCTGAATGTGTTTTCTACTCCCATACCGGTACCGGTAATTTGATATAAGCTTATATATTTATAGATTTTCTTATCTTTTCAGTTCAAGGCACTATCTGTGATATTATATTATAAATAAACATGGTAAGCTAACCTTGTTTCTGTTCTGATTTAACTTGATAAGCTTATTGAATAAAATAAAATAGGTTAGATGTTGAGTTAAAACTTTGAAATTGTTGAAACAGGGTTGTTACTTCACAAAGTAGACAAACAAACTTCAAATGTCATGGGGGAAATGTTATGGTCGTTATGGAGAACTCCTTGATAAATACAAAAAATCTGATTCTGGCATTTTAACTGATTTGTTTGGTCAGACATGAATTGATCTAGTTGTATCTCATGATTTTGACCATTGTAGTAGTGGTGGGTGTGGCACAGGAAGCAGACTATGCTAACTCTTTTCACAACACCTGATGGTACTTCTCTTTGGAGGAGTCCACTGCTAAATTACCTTTACTATAATTAACTAATTAAGGTGGATGTAGTCAGTCTATATATAATGGCATTACCAAACAATGGATGCAAAAGAAATGTGAGTGAAATAAACAACTATTTCCACGACAATCTAGATTACTGAGTGGCTCCAAAAGTCATTTTTCGCATTTTTTGAAAGAATATTATTTAGTATATATCACTATAAGTGATTTTTTGTTTGTTTTCAGTCTAAGTCAAAATCTGCTGAATGTGTTAAAGTGGTGGTAAGGTGTCGGCCGATGAATGATGCTGAAACAAAAGCCAAGCATGAGAGGTATTGTATATTTTATGAAATCTGACCTTTGATTTTTTTTAGGGGGCCTGATGCCCATTTGTCTACACTTTGACTTAATTTTATTTTCTGTTGCCTTTTTAAGAATTGTTTTAGCTTTGTGGATTTTTAGATTCATCTGTTATACAGTCTTTGGATTAGCAGTTGGAGTTGCTTCTGCAAGTCTTGGGTGCTATCTTGGCAAAAGTCATGATTTTTTACCCACTTTCAGTCCCCCCTGTTAGTGTTTCCTTTCAGAGGGGGTTGAAATGGATAAAGTTTCATTTGGATGGGGCAATAAACAGAGACCCTATATGCTACTGGCTATTTATATTAAGATGACTTGGGATGAATTGACAACTGGAAGTAAAAATGAGAGCCCAAATTAGTTTCTTGGTGAAATTTTCTTCTTAGCACACAGTGTTACTGGATTTCAGTACTACCAACAAACCCAGAAACTAACCAGATCTGCTGGTCCTTTTGATCTTCTTCATTGTCATTAAGAATAGGGAGTAACAGGCCTTAATTGAAATCAGCTTAAATACCATTATAACATATTACATTATTACAAAAGAATCTAAACTTTTGGTGATCTAAGAATCACATTTTAATGGTCACTATGACAACCATGACCCACATGTAAAAAACCCGACTGAACGCAAGAGACGTTTTTGTGGGCCGATTCGATTAGGTAGATTAGCAATTTTGTGCGTTTGTGAGTCAGGAGGATCAGGCTAATCGGTACATTTGTGAGCCAGTTTACCTAAACTAATTTGCCTAATCGTCCCAGGAGGTGGTTAGGCGATTCGATTAGGCTTTTCCAAAATGGCGGCATGTGGAAGTTGCTAATGTAATCGCATTTGTGGTCCACTGCTAATTTAAACCAAATTGCACCAAATCGTAATCGAATCGGCCCACAAAAACGCCAAAGGAGTTTTTAATATCAATTGTTATTATTTGTATATTTTTAGAGTGGTTGAGATGGATGTAAATAAAGGAGTAATATCAGTAAATAATGCTAATCATCCTGGAGATCCCCCAAAATCATTCACCTTTGATTCTGTCTATGATTGGAAGTAAGTATAGTGGAGTCTTGTTTATCTGTACATTAACATTCCTGATAAAATCGTTAAATTTAGAAACATCCGGATATTTGAAACATATCATACTGGTCATAATTAGACAATATTTATTTATACATGCAGGACACCCACTATTACCGATTAGCTCAGCTAAAAAATTCTGAGACTAAAGTATGATTGGTCAACAAAATAGCCTACCTGTCCCTTAAATTGAATAATTTTTTTGAGAAGTTTTTATTGACTGAAATACTTTGTTTTGATTTTGTCAATTTAATTTTTTCAATGATATTTTTCAGTTCCAAACAGCGTGACCTGTATGATGAAACATTTCATGATTTAGTAGAATCTGTATTACAAGGGTTCAATGGTACTATTTTTGCTTATGGACAAACAGGGACTGGCAAAACATTTACTATGCAAGGTAGGTACTAGCTATTGTCAATTTTTTTTACACATTGTTTTTGTGCTACATGCTTATTGGTGTGTTACATTTTAATTAAATTGTAGATGTTCTAATTGCCAGATTATTTTTTTGAAAAGTGTTTAAGGTTATCTTTTTTTCATATCATATGCATTATTTCTGGATATACAGTAGAAAATAGAAATATTAATATTTTTGATTTACAGGAATAAAAGAAGATCCTGTTATGCGTGGTGTTATACCTAACTCATTTGAACAGATATTTAGCCATATATCACGGTCACAAAACCAACAATATTTAGTCAGAGCTTCATATCTTGAAATTTATCAGGTCAGTATATAACAAAAAAAAATTGAATCTCTTTGGAAGTTATGGAGGCAAAACCAGTTTTATTATGTACAGGATCTAAAGCCTGCTACATACGAGAGGAACTGGCTGAGCTGCCTGCCTCAATCTTTAATTTTTAGTGAGATTTCTGCCTCAAGAATTGTGAGGAAAATATCTATTCTGTTTGATATATTTTGCCTTGTGAGGCAAGAAACTCAGCATGTGCAAACATTCAAGCTGCCAGCTTATAAACTAAAAAAAAGTGAAAAGCATTGAAGAATCATGGTAATCATGGATGACTATGTGAATGATTCAACATGTGGAGCATGGCAAGACTACACGTGACTATATACTGTTAATTCTGCGGAATTCCAAAAGAGGCAAATAAGACCATTTTGATGAGTCAAATAATACAAATGCAGTCGGAATGTTCTTTGGTTGTTTTTGTTAACATACAGAGACAATAGATCTTGCCTGCTGTGGAAGAACTAGCGCTGATGTTGCTCAGCTGACAACCTTCCTAGGCAGAAGGCTCACCTAGTACCTCTGGTCTGCAGCAAGCTTGAATCTAGCCTGCTGTCCAGGCAAAATGTTTTGTATTGCACAATACATGTTTTATTGGTCATCTAATTACAGGAAGATATAAGAGATTTACTATCTAAAGATCAATCTAAAAGATTAGAGTTAAAAGAAAGACCTGATACTGGTGTCTATGTCAAGGTAATTGAACATTATTCATAGCTTTGCTCTTCTAGACCAAATAAGATCTGTTATTTTATTCATTTATTCCGTAAAACAATAATAATGATTATAATAACAAGAATTTTAGCAAATTATGTATGTTTGTATGTTTGTCTTTAATGTGTTGAGAGATCCTACGTTCTATGGTTGCACTTTAATTATTCCTCAATAGTTGGAAATTGAAGCAAAGAAGGCTAATGTCACTGTCCTAGCAAATATTTCCCTTATTGCACACTGTATGGTGTTGCCTGTCTCAATAAGGCTAAATCAGGTGCAGAAATATAGGATGTTAACTCTATTCAAGGTTAAAGGTTTTATGAAATAACAATGGTCAAAGAAACTTTTCATATATATTTGCCAATATGTGTATATATAATTTTAGGATTTATCATCATTTGTGACTAAAAGTGTGAAAGAAATTGAACATGTTATGCATGTTGGTAATCAGAACAGATCTGTAGGGTAAGGTTATTAAACATCATATTAGTTTTTTGTTCTTAGGACAATTTAGGGCAGTGCTTCTTATTGTGATTTGTTCTTTGTTTTATGAAATATGTTTCTTAAAGTTGTAGATGTAATAAGCAAAAACTGTGATATAGTTATATATTATACAATTTATTCTTTTAAGGGGTGTAGTTGCTTTATATGTTCTTATAGAGCATTCTTGTCATTTCCATCAATTTTCAGAAGTTCAAAGATCTGAAGCCTATTTCACCTTTAATTCAACAAGGATTTATCATTGCAATACTCTGGTCCTTTTGCAGTACAATTATGAATCTGCATAGAACATTGTGGTAGTCTGAACTGCCATGTTAAATATTTAATGAATTGCAGGAGAACTAGATGTGGGATTGGTATTCTGAAAAGTGACACACATGGCTGAAATTCAATCCAACAAAAATTGAGATGAATATATCTCTTTTAGGGCAACCAACATGAATGAACACAGTTCCAGGTCTCATGCTATATTTATTGTAACTGTTGAATGTAGTGAATTGGGGGCCGACAATGAGAATCATATTCGTGTTGGTAAATTAAATATGGTAGATTTAGCTGGTAGTGAAAGACAAGCTAAAACTGGTGCAACTGTAAGTACTTAAAGAGATTGAAAAGAGGTTTTCTAAATGTGTATAGGGAACACTGATAGCATCAATTTGCACCATTCCAATTTTCATTCTGACGTCTGTGGTTGTTGCAATTCCACTAAAACTAAAGTGTCCTATAATGTCACTAGAGGGGAGCAACTAAAGCTACTATTAATATCTATGCAGTTCCCTTACAGGAACCACAGACCCACCTAGAAAAATGGTTTGCGCCCCCAATTGTACCCCCACTTTATTTTCAACAAATCTAAATGTCTATCTTTTTTCTCCAAATAATGTGTCAGAATGCACATAATCAATTCATTTTTTCTAAAATTTACTTGAGAGAAGAAGTCTAAGATGCTCTATGAGAGTCTTGCAACTTTGACATCACCACAGAGTAGCCAAAATTTGAATTCAGCATCAGCAGCTATCCCTCCATTGATTGAGTCAGTCTGCCTCCCTATTTGGACCTCGGAAGGCAGGCGCCGACACTGAATCAAGGTACCAATGAAATGAATATTTTGCAGGGTGAAAGATTAAAGGAAGCTACTAAGATTAATCTATCATTATCAGCTCTGGGGAATGTGATCTCGGCACTAGTTGATGGTAAAAGTACTCACATACCTTACAGAGATTCCAAGTTAACACGTTTGTTACAAGGTAGATTTTAAGATACTTATAATATTCTGTTTGTTGAGAAAAATATGGCATTAAACTCTACTGTATAATGAATAATCCTATCAAAAGGATTATAAATTGGAAATTCTGTAAAAAGTGTCTATTTGTTCGGATGAAACAATAAACTGAGGCCCTATGTACTGCAGACTGTGCACATTAAAGATCCCTCGACAGTTGGAAATCGAAAAAAAAAATCAGGTTAATGCTGCTGTCTTGGCAAATTTTCCCTCATTGCACCCTGTATGGCGTTGCCCGTCTTCATTAGCCCACATGGTGCAGAAAATTAGGATGTTAAACTCCATTCATTTCATTTCATTTATAAAAAGTTCTTGACATCAGTTAGTGAGGTCCCCAGCAGAAAATACATGAACTGAAGAATGCATTTATATCTAACTGTTGCTTGCTATGGTTCCAATTTAGCCATAGCTTATGTCTAGAATGTATTATAGACTTTCTAAACCCAAGTTTATATCTTTGTAATTATAGATTCATTAGGAGGTAATGCTAAGACTGTAATGGTAGCTAATATAGGACCAGCTAGTTATAACTGTGATGAAACATTAACCACTCTCAGGTAGGTTATGATGTAATCAGTGCTTAGATACACATAAAATGTTTAGAAAAACCAGTTAAAGATGGGTTTCCTTACTTTTTAGTGTCAAATTAAGCAAACTATTTGAGTAATTGGTGTTTCTAATGAATTATCATGTATTCTTTATCATATCCTTATGTTCTTATTGCATATAATTAAGAGTTTAACCAATCATAAATGCCCATGTATGTACAATACTTTTTTTCTTGATCGGTCACTCATTGGAATTCTGCTGGTAATTCTTCTAATTTAGCTAATTATGAGTTAATTATAGACATGTGAGACAAACTGGTATTTTTCCAAGTCATTAGAACACCTCTACTGTCTATTCATATTAGTATTAGCATTTTCATTATCAGAAATTAAAAAAAAAGAAATCCATCTTTAACAGTCCCTTTTACTTGGTTTGCACTACATTACAAAATGGAGTGACTGTGTTTATGGTTCAAGTTGTCACAGAATTTGGATTGATGGCATTTCCCTAATGCTTCAATGGTTTGTCTTTTGTCATTATGATCATTGATCAATTCTTCTTTCCAGGTATGCTAATAGAGCTAAAAATATCAAGAATAAACCTAAGATTAATGAAGATCCTAAAGATGCTTTGTTACGAGAATTCCAGGACGAAATTGCCAGGTTTGTATAAGATTTTTCTACTCAAACTCCTCAATAAATATTTATCAAATACCTGCAGTCAAAAGTTAGGTGGAAAGATACTCTCTATGTTTATTATTTAATGATATTTTCCATGGTAGGAAAATACTTTTAAGATTACCAGTACTATTTTCGAAAATGAGCTGAATTAAAGTGAATGGAGTTTTACGTCCTACTTTTCTGCAACATGTGGGCAACTCCATGCAGTGTGCAATAAGGGAAATTTTGCCAGCACATCGGTATTAGCCTGCTCTTTTTCGATTTCCAACTGTCGTGGGATCTTTAACGTGCACAGCCTGTAAAACACAGGGCCCATCCGAAAGACCAGACCCTGAAGCAAGTATTTAAAACATTCAATTACCAATAAAAGTCATCATGCAATAAAAGCAGTCAATGAATTTAATTTTTAGATACTTCAATCATGAAATTATCTGCAACAATGTTGACCTATCAGACATCTTAGATTCATCTAGTTGGAAGTTGGTTTCTTTTTTAGTCTAAAATCATTTCATAATCAAATTCCATCCAGAGCTTTTCCAATCTTACTATTTCTTTATGTTATCTTTATTTTTCTTTAAAAAGATTAAAGGGTCAGCTTACATCAAAGGGTGGACCAAAGAAAAAGAAAAGAAGACAACGCAAGAATAGAAATGGTAGGTTTATAAATAATAAATTATGATAATGATGTCTTAATGTTATGATAATGATGATTTGATAATATAACATTGGTGATGATATTTATTTTTATATATTCATGATTTCATTATATTATGATATTCTTGATGATATAATCTGATGTTATTGTGATGATTATGTTTATGATGATGATGATAACCTGATGTTATTGTGATGATTATGTTTATGATGATGATGATAACCTGATGTTATTGTGATGATTATGTTTATGATGATGATGATAACCTGATGTTATTGTGATGATTATGTTTATGATGATGATGATAACCTGATGTTGTTGTGATGATTATGTCTATGATGATAATGATAATCTTATGTTATTGTGACGATTATGTTTATGATGATGATGATAACCTGATGTTATTGTGATGATTATGTTTATGATGATGATGATAACCTGATGTTATTGTGATGATTATGTTTATGATGATGATGATAACCTGATGTTGTTGTGATGATTATGTCTATGGTGATAATGATAATCTTATGTTATTGTGATGATTATGTTTATGATGATGATGATAACCTGACGTTATTGTGATAATTTTGATGAAGTTGATGATTATGATTCCTGATACCATTATGATAATGATAATATTCATCACTAGATCATATGGTACAGACAATGTGATAATGTGATCAAGACAATGATTATATTTATATTAAAGGTGAAATAGTAGAGGATGATGATGATGATGATGATGATTATGATGAGAATGAAGAAGGTAATGAAGAAGATGAAGAAGCTTATATGGCCGAACAGCAAGCTAAACTAGAAGATGAAAAAAGAGCCATATTAGGAGATACTACACTTATTGCAGAGGTATCTACATGTGTATTAACCAAAACTTTCTGGAGTGTCTTGGTTTAAACTTTTTTGACTTAAGCTGCTCCACTCATGCTGCTGATACACAGTCCTCATCAGGACAGCTGGTTTTGAGAGTATTGGAGTTTAGGGTGTAAGAAAACTAAGCAAACTTACTGAACATGGTAAAGGAGAAGACTCTTTATCTGTAACTAATTGATTAGAGCTCCTCTGATGCTGCCGACACATAGTTTGGATTTGCAATCCTCATCAGGACGGTTAGGCTGAAGGCATATAGGATATTAGGTGAAATCAACATACAGCAGTCTATTATGGACCTTTCTGCAGTACAAACTCCACGACTCAAAACTTTGACATGAGCTCATCTCATGCTACTGACATTCAAATTTAGAAATCCTCTTTTAGCTTAAACTAAAAAAATATATATATTATTATGTTATGTTTTATTCTCTTGCCATTACATCTGATGACGACACGTGTATATTGTGTTGAAACATTATGTGCCCAACCTTATTAAAGAAGTTTGTTATATTCCATAATATTGTCATGTGTTTTGTTATATGACTGTTATTGTTGTATATTTACTGTTATTGTTGTTTATTTACTGTTGTTGTTTACTTGTAGGAAAAAGAGAAATATTTATCAGAATTAAAAGGAAAAGAAGCCAAATTAAATAAAGAAAGAGAAATGAAAGAGGCTTTAGCTGGTAAAATTAAGGTATATATAGATATTTTACTGTGTTAATTAACATTAAGTTTCTTCTGTTGGCAATCTAAGATATAGGTTTACTATATAATTGCGTGTATAGTGCAAAGTTATATTGCCCTCAAAGGGGTTGGTCAAACTGGGCATGCACATTATAAACAGTGACATAGAATTTGTAGATATGAAGGTGTAAAATTCATCTGAAAGTATCATTAAGTAGCTTTATCAATTCCAAATTTAATGATGTAAAATATTATTAGATTTGAGTTACTGGGATTGGTGAAGAAGGTTTTAAAACACATCAAGGTGTCGATTTTATGCAGTGACATGACCTTCGTTCTGGATTCAATATGGCCGACATATGAATAAGATCTATTATGCTCACCTTGGCTGTATTGAATGACATGAAGAAACCAGGTTTCAAATCTGAAAATTTCTCTACCTTTTTAAATAGATATTGTAAATATTGTATTTATATTGTATAGGCAATGGAGAGTAAGTTATTAATGGGTGGTAAGAATATAGTTGATCATACTAATGAACAACAGAGAGCTTTAGAACAAAGACGACAAGAAATAGCTGAACAGAAGGTATTACATACTTCTTCAATAAAAAGTGACACAAATCACAGATTTTACAAAAAATGCATTATTTATTTGTTGTAATATTTATATCACCTAGGTAATGTCCCTTTGAAGTTCTCATAGTCTGAAAAAAAGGTTTTTTTTAAGTGTCTTGGTAATCCAGGCTATAATAATTTGAATATTTTTGTGAAACATGCAATAGACTTGAATAATGAGACTCTTTTGACCTTATTTTCTTGCTTTGATTGTTTTAAAGAAACTGTTATAAACTTAAAATTGAATACTGGTATTAATATTATTAGATTTATCTGGGATATGGCTGAATTCAAAATGATGGCAGTAAAGAATTATGGTATGATTATTTTTACCTTTTTATCTAGAGAGTTGAGAGAGAAATTAAACAGAAATTAGAAGAAAAAGAAGAATCAGCCGTAGAACTACAAGAAACTTATGCATCTTTACAACAAGAAGTTGATATTAAAACTAAGAAATTAAAAAAGGTAATTTATGAATTATGAAAATTAAGTGCTAATTAAGGTATATATCTTGAAATTCAATTTATAAAAAGTATGTTAATGAGAAATGATTTAAAATTTGTTTAAAAAATTTGTCAAGTCAAAGTGTTATGGAAAATTATTCATTTTAATAATGAATTTGTTTAAATTTCAGTTATTCTCTAAGTTACAAAGTACAAAACAAGAAATATCTGATTTACAAGAAGAACATGTGAAAGAGAGACATGAATTAGAACAAACACAGATGGAATTAACTACAGAATTGAAATTAAAGTAGGTTATATCAATATTGGTTTTTTAATTGAAATGATGATACGCTCAAGTTGTAAACCATATTTAAATATCTTCTTTGTAAGACATATAGAAGTAGGAAGGTAAACAAGGGGAACACAATAAGATACATGTATATGGATATACTACTTCAAGTTTTATTAAAACTATGTTTTGAAACACATACAGGTAAAATGATTAATAACCAAACAACACAGGATATATACAGTTAAAATAGAAGCCATAAAATGGATATAACAATAACAATAATGATTAGAAATGAGCATGAAATAACAAAAGAAAAATGATTTAACCAGATGTCATCTTATTCTTAACTTCAACAGTCAATAGAAATTATTTTATATTTAATATTCAATATCACTAGAGGTATCACTAATTGCCTACCTCCTTTTGACAAAAGTGTTACAAAATGCCAATTTTTCCTCAAAATGTATGCTGCAGTGAAAAGTGATACATTTTATCAATAACTGTATGATAGACAATTCATCAGTTGTCTGAAAATCACATTGTGTGAAATTCTGAGTAACAACATGATTCAAGTTCTGTTTTAATATTTTTGATGGACAATTTGTACTGTTGAAAAATATTGGGTGGCCCAAAAAAGTGACCCTCATATCATTAACTATGGTATTTATAAGTATGTTTTGATATATTTTATAGAATGTTAATAATAGAGAATTTTATACCACCAGAAGAAAAAACTAAAGTGTCTAATAGGGCTGTATATGATGAAGATGAGGATACGTGGAAGTTGAAATTATTAGCTAATAAAAGGTACTGAACTGTAGTCTTGTAACATTACTTGATTGTATTATATTATGTTATGTAATATAGTTATGAATAAAGTAACTCAAATACCCAATTGATATAAATGCGCTTTAAAGGGACAGATTCACCATTTGTTGAATTGTATTTTTTTAGTAAAGCTAATCAGTAATATTGTTCACAGCTTTGCAATTTGAGTCTTCAAATCCATGTATGTTCAGAATTATCCGCGTTTGAAAGGTTAAAAGACCAATCGTCTTTTCTTGAAACTATGATTTATATAGAAAAGACATAATATAGAAATAGTGAGTAAAATTTTTGGAAGGAATTATGCGATTTTCGTACATTTCTAGTACCTATTTGCATATATTCAACACCTAAAAATGGCAAATCTGTCCCTTTAAAGCTATTGTGCTATCATAAAAAGTAGAATTAATTATTTACAAAAAAAATGTTCAACTCAATTTTACACCATTACTCAGGCATATTTATTACTGGCAGTCTCCATACTTGTTGAAAATATATGGCCTCCATTCACACTCCAATCTTTATTATAATTATTAATTCATGATAGCTTTAATTAAGCTGTTTTAATGTATCTATCTATTGATATAGTTTGTTATTTGGGTTAAAATACTTATTTTATTTTTTGTATTTTAGTGCTACTACAATGATGACTAGACCTGTATCAGCATTAGGTAATAAAAGACCAGTTACAGAGTTTGCTAAAGTTGCTGCTAGTATGGGAGGTGATCCCAGATTCCTGGTAAGAAGTTATTTTTGAAATTTAGTGTTTGAACTTTTGAATTTTGCTAGTGTGTTGTCAGACTTCCATTTCTAGAGGCTTAGGTCTGGAATAGGGATTTTCAATGTAGTTAAAAAGGCAGAAGAAAATTGTATGGGTACTTGACACAATGTGTGGACAAAGTATAGACTAAAAATGAATGGACACAAATTCTTTCCATGGTCCATGGTCCATGGTTGGTACTCTGTATAGCTTAAAGATTTTTTTAGTTAAAACTTTCAGATACATTATGGGATACCTTTCCATAGATTTTGGTTTGTAGTTTTCACAAATTTGAGCAAACAATTTTTTTTTACCTACAAAAAAAGCGGAATGTCCCTTTAAGCCTTAAAATTCATTCTGGAAAAATGGATGGAAAAATTACTATTCTAAGAATTTTGGTTATGTTTCATTAAAATTGGTCTTAGAATTTGATAATGCAAGATAATGATCAATTTTAAACAACTTGACTTCCTTTATCTTTAGAATGTTAAACCATTAGTCTTATACCTTGACTTCTATAACTTTGTATCTTGGAATGAATCCATTTGTTGGATTGTACACTAGGGTACATTGCAGTCAAGGTACATTGCAGTCAAGATATAAGACAAAGTGGGTAATAGCTTGACATTATGCAGATTGATTTCACCGATTAAAATTGGCCTTGTATTAAAACAGAATATGTATTGATTATTGTAGGGTGAGAATATTTTACAAGTGGAGTTAGATATGCCCAATCGTACAACACGAGACTATGAGGGACCAACAGTAGCACCTAGAGTACAGGCTGCTTTAGATGCTGCTCTTCAAGAAGAAGATAATATTGATATTGATGGAAGGTAGGAAACAGGACTCTGGAAATTCCCAACCAGACTTTTTACACATGAATTAAGATCTTGTATTATTTTTCACCAGAAGCACATTTAAATGCTAATAATATAGCATATTTGCATAGAAAATGTCCTCAAGATCAAAATTGCAGTCAGTCATTTTGGAGCTCCAATCAGTCTTGACTGACAAAAACGGATAAATCATTAAACATCAGATTTTAATCAAACTTGTATTCAGTTCTGAAACATGTCAGAAAGATGGTTGCTCCATAACCTTATATTTATGATATCTAAGAGATCTCTTATAGTAGCTTAAAAGAAAATTGCTGAATTTGTACTTTGATTTAAATTCAAGTGGTAAGAAAAACCTAATAGTGTTTAATTTATATTTTGGTCTTTTCAGCCCTGCTATTTTCAGTATGAAAGCTAATAAATTAAAGAAAAAGGAAAAATCCAATAGGTAAGAAAATATATGTTATGGAAACATAACAAATTTAAAAAACCTCTTTACAATACCTTTCAGCAATTAGATTTTATTTATGTTCATCAAACAAAGATCACTTGCTGTTAATGGGAAAACCTAAAAATACTTTGTATTTTCCTGTATTTTCAGTTGTTTTTCTTAAAAGGGTTCCCTTAATTTCATTTATGAAAATGAAAATGCTAATACTGAATAGAAATTAGATGTGTTCTAATGACTTGAAAATTACCAGTTTTTTTCTCACATGGCCATTCATAAATAGCTAAATTAGAAGAGAATTCCAATGACTGACCAATCAAGAAGGGTCAAAAAGTCTTTTTTTTTGTTTATCCAGACTGTATATACAAAAGGACATTTATGATTGGTTAATACATGATAATTCATTAGTAAGACCAATTAATCAAATAGTTTGCTTAATTTGACACTAAAAAATAAGGAAAATCATCTTGAACTAATGATTTTTTTTTTTCAGACCCAGAACAGCAAAGAAAGTTGATAATTCAAATGTGTTTCCTACGTCAAGAGGTCTCATTCCAAAATAAAATAAACCAACTGCTAAATTAATTTATACTATTGTAAATGTCTATTGTACATATTGCTATATATATCTATTTATAAAGGCACTATTCACCATGTCTACAATGGAATGAAAATTCCTTTAAAGTTAACACTTGTGAAAGTGAATCTTATAGATCCATGCCATTTTTTATCCCTAGCTAAATCAAAACCCCTCAATGATCAAACAAATTTTTTTTTTTCTGTTGACAGTGTGACACTGTGAAATCACTGATATTTGCGAGGCCTCAAAATTTGTGGATTTCACGAAATTTCCCCAGGAAATTTAGTTAGTATTACACTGTTAATGATGCTACTTGATTAACAGGGGATTAAAGGGACAGATGCGCCATTCTATTTGACCAATCATACTTTATTCTCAACAACAGGAATTTTTTTTAGTTGAGCCAATCAGTAATGATGTTCACAGCTCACCACCGAAATTTGAGCCATCAAATCCATGTTTGTCCAGAATTATCCGCGTTTGAATGTTAAAATGACGACTCGTCGTTTTAAGATACTCTCTGATATATAGAAAAGACATATATAGAAATAGTGAGTTTGAGATATTTTTAAAGGAATTATGCGATTTTCATATATTTATAGTACATCTGAAGACTATTTACTTTACTTAAATCAACCCCCCAAAATGGGGCCTCTGTCCCTTTAACAATGGTTTCAGTAATTATAACCAAGTTTTAGATTAGTCTAGCCAATTTATACTGTTAAACTGTACTATTATACTATATACTATAGAGCTGTGATCCGAGGTAAAAGCCATGAATTTTGAAGTAAAAAAATTTGTAAAGTACAGATATTACTGAATTTATGTTTCCACAAATATACAACCAAGATCAAATCATATAAATATGGTACTCATAAAGAAAAATAATTTCACATTAAGGCTATACTTTTTGGTGTAAAGTAACATGCAATGTCTATTATTAAATTTGTCAAGCCATGTTTAACTTCATTTTTATGCCCTTTCTCATGTGCAAGATCTGATTTCTGATGTCACTTCCCAGAAAATTTATTGAATTTAGCTTGAATTATAACTAAATGTTATGGTCTTGTTTAAGCAAAGAACTGTCATCAGTATTATCAAGCATTTGATTTTTTTCAAAGTCATACTTTTAATTGATGTGCTAAATTTTGTAAAAGATTGTCCAAGAATCTTAATATTTAAAAGTGTATATTTATGTGTATTTGGACCCTGTGTAAGAAGCATCATAACCTAAATCAATATTGCCTATTTGTTAAGCTATCTGTATTACCATATTTTTTCTTAAATTTAAATTTTTATTCATCTACAGCTAAGCAAAATATACTGCATAAGTGGAGAAAGTAAAGACAGTATTTTAGTTTCAGGTTGCTGGTAGTGATGTTGATATTACTCATTTGAAGTAAATATGTCTTGGAAATGTTAACCCTTTGTACTCTAGCAGTCTGAAACACCCTGTAATGCATCTTCACAATGTCAAGCTATCACAAACTGTGTCTGATACCTTGACTTCATTAGGCTTTTCTGGCATCACGAAAGTTTGAAATGCACCCAATACTGCCTATTAGCGCCCTCAACAGAAAGTTTGCAAACCATAAGCATAATGTTTACTGCCTTTATGTCAAGAGCTCTGATTTGCTGTATTCGCTTGTGTATGATACAATTACTGTTTTCTGTGATATAAGAAAGGTGGCTATTAAAGTCAAGGTATTAGACACAGTTTATTATAGTTTGAAATTGTGAATTAGTCTCAATCAATTGAATTGAGAAGGTCATTATTTATTAGGTTATACAATTTGAGATTACCCTTTTAAGGTTAAAAAAATGCGCATTATATACAGAGATATACGGTATATGACATTTATTTGGTTTTACACTCAGTGTTCAAAGGGTTAATAAAGGTCGTATGTATATCTGCACATATTTAGGAAATCAGGAATGTACATGTATTGCCTAATATATATTGTATATCAATTATTGTTATACATTTAGAATGGTTGTGAAGACAATTACTTTTCTGTCTTTGTGACATATTTTATTCTTACTTGCAAATGAATCCAAGTTAGAATCAATTATTCATGCTTATCGTGAATGAGATATTGTTGCTTAAGTATTTGCTTTTACCAGCTTTATTCAAGCAATCCATGCCACTCTTCAGAATGAAAATCTGGCATTTAGTTTGTCTACAATATAAAAAATAAAATCAACTATAAGGAAGACTACTGAAGAGCCCTTGTCTCAAGCAGATATTATGAAGATTTGAATATAGGTCCCCATTTATATAATTGTTGACAAACATGGAGCCAGTTTTACATTCTGAAAAGTGATAATGGCAATATTTTTTTCAGCTGGTAAATAAAAACGAAAATTTGACAATTTCTCTTAAGTTCAACTGATTTGACCATTGTATAATTTTGGTTATTAATTTGACAATGAAACAAGTCTGTTTTGTTGGTGTTTGTTAATTTGTCTTACAAGTTTACTGAATTCAATTCTAAATAAATCAAATCTCATGAAATCCAAGTAAAGTTGAGTAAAGTTTTGTATTGAGTATTTTATATAAATCATTTGATTTGTTTTATCTTGTATTTTTTCCGTCCAATTATTTCAATTTTTTTTGTCATTTTGTTTTTATTTCCTCTTAATTTATTGTCAATAAAGTATTATTTATTTGTCACTGTAAAGTTGTTATAATTTTAATTTTTGGAATTGGAGAAAAAATAAAAAAAAGTCAAGCACCTGAGTGGAGAATGCAATTTGAATTTTTAGGCAGTTTCGGGGTTGATTTCTTGAAAGTATGTATTAGTAAATAGTCTACAGAAGAACTAGAACCTAAAATTTACTGGCTTTTTCTCTCCAGAATAGTGTACGTCTTATCAAAAAGATTTCTATGCGAGCATGCTCTCATTTCATTAATTACTCACCACTTTAACTAATTACTCACAACTTTCACTAATTACTCACCACTTTTACTAATTACTCACCACTTCCACTAATTACTCACCACTTTCACTAATTACTCACAACTTTCACTAATTACTCACCACTTTCACTAATTACTCACCACTTTCACTAATTACTCACAATTTTCACGTATAACTCACAACTTTTACTAATTACTCACCACTTTCACTAATAACTCAAATTTTATTTATTACTCACCACTTTCACTAAGTAATCACCATTTTCACTAATTACTTTCCACCTTCACCCATTACTCACCATTTTCGCTAATTATTACCATTTTCACCTATTACGCACAATTTTTACCCATTACTCACAACTTTCACTAATAACTCAACATTTTTACCCGTTACTTGTCATTAAAATAATAACTCACATCTTTTACTGAATATTACTCACCACTTTCACTGATAGCTCAACATTTTTACCCTAATTACTCACCACTTTTACTAATTACGCAAAACTTTTACTAATTACTCAACACTTTTACTAATGACTCAACACTTTTACCCATTACTCACTACTTTTACTCATTTCTCAACAATTTTACTAACCACTTTAACTAATAACTCATCACTTTAACTAATAACTCAACACTTCTACTCATCACTTTAACTATTAGCTCAATATTTTAACTCGCCACTTTAACTAATAACTCAACACTTCTACTCACCACTTTAACTAATATCTCAACACTTCTACTCACCACTTTAACTAATAACTCAACACTTCTACTCACCACTTTAACTAATAGCACAACACTTCTACTCACCACTTCAACTAATAGCTCAACACTTTAACTCGCCACTTTAACTAATGACTCAACACTTCTTTTACTCACAACTAAATCAATATGATCATATTTTCTTTTTAGCTATGTATATGCATGTGATTCACATTGGTAAATATACATTGAGCAAACACTTTACAAGGTGCGGTTTGGCTCTTTCCTCCCTAATGACAAAAGCACTGAAAGTCGTAATCTAGGAATTGACCAACTCTTAACAAATATAATCAACAGCATCGTTGATGATTTCGAATTTGTGTCGACTACCAGATTTCAATTTTTGACAAAAAGTAGAGCTGCAGAAAACTGCGTTTTTTTATCGTTGTACTTTGAGTGGAATCCAACGATTAGCCAGAAATGCAGTTATGACCCGATCGTAGCGACGACGATTTTTATGCCCTTACGAATCGCCGGCATCAAAAATTTTCTGCAGATTGAATTCCGGCGTATATTGTCGGGCGGTCGATATTTCTTAAAGCAGTCGGATTTGATGCTGATATTTGACGTTCAGAATTGGCTGCGTATGTCATTGTGTACCAATCACGTGAACGACGGCAAAATTCCGCCGAGTAATATACGCTCTATTCAACGGACGTAAAAATTCGCTGGCAATTTAAATAGACGTGATTTGGCGAAAAATACGCTTCTCTGCCAATAGCATCACCACAGTCGTTGAAAAATTAGGTTCTGTCGGTCGCAAGGCCAATTTGAGCACCCCTTTATAGCTCGAGATCAATTTTGACCCATTGTTTTCGGGTCACTTTAGTAGCTAATCCGATATGAAATTACGTAAAATAGGCTTAACGAACTAAATGATACTGTGAAATATTAGAATTGTTTGAAATGGATTAAGAAAATGGAAATATCGACGTCTTTACTGTTATTTCTTAAAGATGGGTTCCCTTTTTTCATTTATGAAAATGGAAATTTATGAAAATGAAATAGCTAATACCCGTATGAATACAAAATAGAGATTTCCTTATGACTTGGAAAAATACCAGTTTGTCTCACATGTCCATACTTAATTCATAATTAACTAAATTAGAAGAGAATTACTAGCAGAATTCTAATATGTGATCAAGAAAGTTCAGAAAGTCTTTTTTTGTTTATTCAGACTGTACATACATGGACATTTATGATTGGTTAAAACTGTTAATCATAGGACATAGTGATATGATTAAGAATACATGATAATTCATTAGAAACACCAATTAATCAAATAGTTTGCTTAATTTGACACTTCAAAAATAAGAATACACATCTTTAATATCAAAATTTCTATTTAGATCAGTATAGCCAAACCCAGCATTTGAATATCTAAAAGTGCCTCGAATTTTCCTGTTACCAATTTTTATAATTTTAGAGAGCAATATCCCTCCTATCGAAATACTTGGTAGGTCCATGAACCCAATCCAACTTCCTCGACATAATTTATCAAAGATACAGCCAAGAGTTGCTATAGCATTCTAATCAATGAAACTACACCACACCTTTAATCTATACATTAGATAAGGCAATTGCGAAATAATAACGTTGGTCCTTTATTTGAATAGTGACAATGTTAACTGGGACATTTAATAGTTAGGACGGAAAATGAAGTCAATTCTATTAGCTTTTATATATTTCATATACTTTTCTCGTGGCGAGGACGCTGATAAATTTCTATTCGGCCAATTCCCAAGTGATTTTCGATGGGGAGCGTCCACAGCTGCTTATCAAATAGAAGGAGGATGGAACGCAGATGGTAAATATAACCTTATTCTATGGTGGCTCGTTTGGGACATTAGTAAATTTGTCACTTTTTTATTTTCTTTTGGGCTTCTTGCTTTTAGGTTTTTGTGATACATGTCATTCTATATTTAGTAACATTGTTCTATACCAGAAAAATTATTGAATAAACCCTAAATTGTCAACCAAACTATGCCACCATACATAAGATCATCAAAATTCTATCGTTTTTTAAGCTATTTTGAGCTATTTAGTCACACAAAGCATCTGACATTGCAGGTAAAGGTCCTAATATTTGGGATTATTATGTGCAACAGCCAGGACATATTGCAGACCATTCTACAGGAGATATAGCTTGTGATAGCTACCGTAAATATAGAGAAGATGTTCAACTGTTGAAAAAATTAGGGGTAGGTTTATTAAAGGTATACTACCTCTTTGGATGACCAAAAAATTTCAATTTTTTAACTTGGCCAACAGAATCCCTCTAAAATCCAATAAATCCACAAAACTAAATAATTTTTTAATCACGCTTAGAAGCATGTTTCAAAAATTACTTAGTTTTTAAGGATATATCGTCTTTTAATAGAGATTCTTTAGTCATGACACCTGGTAAGTCCAACTGATGAATATATACACTTGTTGACCAAAGTGTGAAACTTTAAATCTTATATCCATTCTAAGAGATAGTATTCCTTTAAAATGTATCCAACTGTCCATAGATGTCATTGTAGAGGCTTGTTCATGATACTTAGGATTTGTTTAGATACATTTTTATGTGCAATAAAACTTACTTATTTTTCACATATTTTCCCGTCGAAATTAACAAATGAAACAAACAACTATAGGCCTACTGAGTAACGCTCTACTAATTATTCAAATCAATAGACCGGTAACAGATGTTGTCGATATTTACACATCAATTACGTAGACTGCATAATTTGGAGTTCTAGCTTAAAGTAGCCTCATTCATACACGAAACTTAGTCCAGGACATGCAGAATCTGCTTCAGTATTCAAAATTTTTACTATCTACTAATAATATTAATACTGTTACTAATGACTAAAATAAAATAAAGCAGTGTGGAATAATACCTACATAGTGAAAACAACATACCCATGCTAGGAATAAACTCTTCCAATATTAGATTTCATTTCTTAACCTAAATATTATTAATTGGAGTCTAATAGAACTGAATAATGTCAATTTATTGTCAATCATTCCTTGTTGTGATATTATATAGCACAAGCTAATATTAGATTTCTTTTTTCAATACATGTATAATCAATTAACTGGATAATGTCATTTTATTGTTGAATATAAATATCATTCCTTGTTGTGATATTATCACAAGTTAATATTAGATTTATTTTCTCAATATAATCAATTAACTGGATAATGTCAATTTATTGTTGAATGTCCTTCCTACTTAGTGATATTAACATGAGTTGTGATTTTAGCAAAGGATTAGAAGCTTCATAATTTATCTCAAAGACCAACACATGCATTAGTATAAAAATGACAGTGCGATGCAAACAGTATTCCCCAAAACATCTCTGACACTATTTACCCATTTTGGTTTATTAGCCAATCCTCAGATGGTTGAGTTCGTGACATCACAGAAAGGTGGCCAGCAGGTCGTTCTTGATGGATATCGGTACCGCCTAAACAACAGATGGATGCACAGACAAGTGTACAGCAGTTGGAAACTTTGCCAGAAATTCCAGCCCTCATAACCACACAGCAGAAGATATGACTATGTTCCGTATGTTAGGTGTTCTAAGAGAGAGGGTCCAAGCTGAGACAACACCAATCCAGGCCATCTTTGAGGAAGAGGTTGCCACGTTGGAAGCAGATGTTGCCGCAGTTTTTCCGTCCTTTTATTCAAAAAGAAGTGGTCTCTACAAGCAGCGTAGGAAGACTACTCCAGCCCTCCTGCAGTCATTGGCACAAGTTCAGCTCCTAGGTACCTGGCAACAGACTTTAGACGACAGACCCTTTATGTGTGTCAATGATGGTGATGATGACAAGATCATTTGCTTTGCCACTGAAGAGCGACTTCACCTTGTACAAGAGCCCACCTCAACCTCAACAGCCTCGTGAGAGTCCTACAGAAGCTTGAAAAAGCAGAACGTAATAAGATTGCGCAACTAATACACGGTGCACGTACTCCACCCCGCAAGCGAGTATATGTTGAAATAAACCAGAGAATCCAACGCCTTAAAGATGACTCGTTCATACACACAAAGACGCCTCTTCAGTTTTTGGATGCTGCAGGACACTTGCTAAAACTCTCGTGAAAAAAATGTTACGAACTGATTATAAAAAAGAGTGCTAATATATAATGAAAAGAGTGCTAATATGACCCTTTTTCTACTTGTAGTGTTTTTATGTCAATTATGTTATTATTATACTGATATATAAATAAAAAAGTGCTATACAACTTTCTGTCTTTTGTCGCCTATAGACAATATTCCACTAAAGTGGACTTGTCCAATTAAAGGTTGGGTAGCTATGATAGCAGGTATCGCTGAAATTCACTAGTGCATGTCTTTCTTTAATTTACACCGTAGGCATTAGTGGATGTAGGCATTAGTGGCCGGAGCCCCTACCAACTACTTTAACTTATTACCTTTTACTCATTACCCACTACTGTAACTTATTACTCACACTTTTCACTCATTACCCCTTACTGTAACTTATTACTCACAATGTTCACTCAATATCCACTACTTTAACTTATTAATCACAATGTTCACTCATTACCCCCTATTGTAACTTATTACTCACAATGTTCACTCAATATCCACTACTTTAACTTATTAATCACAATCTTCACTCATTACCCCCTATTGTAACTTATTACTCACAATGTTCACTCAATATCCCCTACTGTAACATATTACTCACAATGTTCACTAATTACCCATTACTGTAACATATTACTCACAATGTTCACTCAGTACCCGTTACTGTAACATATTACTCACAATGTTGACTCAATATCCACTATTGTAACTTATTACTCACAATTTTCACTCAATATCCATACTTATTTTACTCTTTACTCACAATTAGCACCAATTACTCACGGCGCTTGTGATTTATTTTGATAATATTTTAAGAGAATTCATCTTTAAACTTGCCTGGAGCAATATAATTTTATTTCATATAAGTTAAAAAACAAATTATAGTATATTTATCAACTGTTGTTTTTAAATGTCTCCCTGTCTGAATAGATATCATTTACCAATATAGTGAAAATTTGATTTAATTTTCAACACTGTCGATTACAATAGTATTTTGTTCGATTTCTTAGTTATATATCAGAGCTTTTTGAAAATACTTTTGCGATATTTAGAGGGCACTAAGCTAGGAAGGCAAAGAATACATCGATTTTGGAAGTGGGAGTAGAATATACTTTTCATTTTTACGTCACCCATGGTAATGAAAACTTTGAGGTTATAACTAGAATGGAAGCTGAATAAGATCGCAAGCTATCTACTAGAGTATAAGATGCTTATGTTACCCCAAAGCTTGTCTACAAATGCTATCTTGCAAACTGATGGTGTTTTCTGAACGGCATAAAGGCAAAATATATCTTTTCAGGTAAACACTTACAGATTCTCTATATCATGGGCCAGAATTTTACCCACGGGATCCCAAACCACTAATCCTGGAGGTATACAGTATTACAAAAACCTTATAGCTGAACTGAAAGACAACGGTATAGAACCATTCGTAACCCTGTACCACAATGACCTTCCAGAGCAACTACAGAGATATGGTGGATGGCTTAATCCACGTATCGTCACTGATTTTGCAAATTTCGCGAAAATCTGCTTTCAAGAGTTTGGCAATGATGTGAGTATTCCATTGAATAGTTAAAGCGACAGATTCGCCATCTGTTTAACCAATCGTACCTTAGTCTCAGAAATCGGATTTTTTTTGCTAAGCTAATCAGTAATAGTGCTCACAGCTCACTGTCGACCATTTAGCCTTCTAATCCATGTGTATCCAGAATTATCAGCATTTCAAAGTTAAAATGACGACTCGTCTTTTCTTGAGACTCTGCCACATGTATCCGAGACTCTGGCGAACCTGTTTCTTTAAAGGGACTGTAAAGAGGTTATCAAAACTTGTTATGTGTATTGGGGACATTGATAGCATTAATTTGCCAGAACCACAGAGGTCTGACTGAGAATTGGGATGGTGCAAATTGATGCTATCAATGTCCCCAATAGCGAAATCGATATCGAAACTCATCGAAGGTTGTCCTTGATCGCGTTCATTAGATAATTCTGGAAGAAAAAAATACTATGTCATATCATTTCCTCTGATAACATTAAACAAGAACGTAGATATTGTTTGATAGACGATAACATGTTTGTGTGGTTAGAAAATGTTTTACTATTATGCAATTTATTCAATATAATTTTACTAGTATAGATTACTATAGAATGCTTAAAGGGACAAGTACCCCATTATTTTTGACCAATCATACTTTAGTCTCAGAAACAATCAGTAATAGTGGTCACAGCTCACAGTCGAAATCTGAGTCTCAAAATCCATGTGTGTCCCGAATTATCAGCGTTTGAATGTTAAAATGACGACTCGTTATTTTAAGATACTCTGTGAATGTGATATATAGAATAGACATACACAGAAATAGTGAGTAAAATTCCTAGTTTGAGATATTTTTTAAGGAATTATACGATTTTCATACATTTCTATTACTTCTGAAGACTATTTACATATATGTTCAAAGCTGAAATCACCCCCTCCCCCAAATGGAACAGCTGTCCCTTTACGACAATAAGATGGCCATATACTATCCTGGTTATTCATATTTGATTCTCTCATATAGCAAGATGGCACATTTAAAGACCAGTTCCCTTTGTCTTTGAAGGTCGGTTCTGTAAAACGAAAGTCAATTTTATGCAAGACTGTTTGACAGTTTTCAATTTCCTCATTTCTCACATACAAAGCACCCCAAGATTGCAGAAAGTATAATTCCAATTTTCATAAAAAATATAATACATATCAGGTATACATGATACATTACATAATATGACCGCTAATTTATTTTTCAACTTCCAATAATCATAACGATATTATGAATTAACTCTAACGATTATTGATCTACAAAATTTTCAATTACTTCAAAGGTGAAAAATTGGATAACCATCAACGAACCGTGGGGGACAGCGGCACTGGGTTATGGGAAAGCTATGGGCGCCCCAGGTGTATGGGGACCGGGTACCAATACGTATATTGCTGGTCACAATCTCATCAAAGCACACGTTGCAGCTTACAGACTTTACCAAAATGAATTTAAAACAAGCCAAGGAGGTTTGTTACAATTTT